TAATTTTTTTAAAATCATACCTAAAATTTAGTTTTTTATTTCAGTTTAGTACCCGTTCAAAATTTAAGGATGATTTTTGAAATAATTTTGAAAGTTTAGGTACTCAAACAGACTAAAATTGATAGTTTATGTACTAAACGCGTTAGGTTTTTAACAACGAGTACTAAAATGAAATAAAAACTAAATGTTAGGTATGATTTTGAAAAAAAATATAAAAGTTTAGGTACTAAAACAAACCAAAATTAATAATTTGTGTATTAAAATACATAGTTTACCCTAATATTTTTTCATATAAAATCGTGTCACCAAGCAATAACTTTGAGTTGTCAAGAATTTTTTTAACAAAATCAATTAATATATAAGTCTTCATTTTTTCTTCAAAAAAGAAAACTCTTCACTTTTTATTATAATATTTATTTAATGCATTGAAAAATATAAATGTATACATTAATAAAAAAAATTATTTATATTTGTTTTCAAGTATTTTTAAAAACTTTCATTATTATTTATATTTGTTTTCAAGTATTTTTAATTTTTTATAGATTTTATGGTTTATTGATTTTGTATAATGCATTATAGTCAATTAAATATAAATAATTTATAGCTATCATATTTAGGGTGTATTTAAAAAAAATAGTCAAATAATTAAATATAAATAAACATGAATCAAGTGATCTTAGTAGTTAAAAAGATTATTGTTGTTCTTAAATATCTCAGGTTTGAGCACGTCATCTGTTGAGATATTTGAGCAGTCATCGTCAAATAATTGAAAACTTTTCGAACATATATTCTCTTATAATCACCCCAGATTAGGAAAAAAGAATAGTAAAAAAATTATATTTTGGTTTAATATATATATATATATAATTAAACCCGAACCCATTAAGTGACATCAATGATAAAAAAAAAAGCGTTTTTCTTCTTAGAAATATCATGTTAAAACGGTTCTATTGTATATAGGGGTGAGTGTTCGATTGAGTCGAGTTAAGTAAAACAATTTCGAGTAATTCGAGTTGACGAGTTTTATTTTACAACTCATATATGATTTGAACTTTTTTCCAGTAGAGTCGAGTCGATTTTTTGAGTTTATGTTTAAATTTCATTATAAATATTTATAATATTATTTGATTCCAATTTAACTGACTTTTTATAACCATATATACAATACAAATATATTTTCTTCACATTTTTTCATACATGATAAATATCATACAAAGTCTAAAGAATCGGCTCAAACTTGAAAATAAATCCACTAATTACTAAAAAATTCGAGTTATTCGAGTTGCATTTTACAATTTGATTTGAATTTGAATTTTTTTCGAGTCGAGTCGAGTTTATGAAATTGCAACTCGAAATCAATTCGAGTCGAGTCAAAAATTTTGAATTTTCGGGTCGAATCGAGTTTTGCTCACCCCTAATTGTATGCCTTGTCAATGGATAAGAATGATTCTAAACATATATATATATATATATATATATATATATATATATATATATATATATATATATATATATATATATATAAAAAAAGTAATCAATGTATCTATTACATTAAACGTAACAAAAGTACCTCAATTATACTATTAAAAAAATATTATTTTTAACTACTACTCTATTAATTATAATAACTATTATTATTTTTTAGCTACTATTCTAATAATTACATACACATAATTATATTTTATTTTTATAACTCTAATTTTATTCTATTTTCATAAAATTTTATACATTAATTTATTCTTCTCAAAAATTACTTTTCAAAATAAGATTTTTAAGTCGGTTCATCTAAAAAGTATATAAATATAAAAAATAAAATATCATTATAATAATTTTAGTCAATCACAATTGTTTTTTAAGTAATAGAAAAATAAATTTAGCTAAAATAAAAGACTAATAATGATATAAAGAATATTTAAAGGACTAAAAACAATTATTCAAAAACAAAAGGACTAAAGCAAAGAGACAAAAAAACAAAAAACATACGAAAATAAAATATAAAATTAGATAGCTGGTGACGTGTTAGATAGTGACAAGGTGTAATTTTCTGGTAATTTTAAAAAATTTATTTAAAATAAAATTATATTTTTTTAAAAACTCAAAATTTCAAAAAACTTTTAAAAACCCTTAAAACTTTGAAAACTATAATTCTAATCCCCAAACTCACACTGGTCTTCGACATTTGATGTTGATCGGACCTCCACCAAAACCTCCACCCTACGACAAGTCAAACCCGACCATAAACGATGTGTCTTCGACGAAAGAAACAACAAAATCGCGACCCAAAATCGCATCTCCAATGAACTCAAACCCCGAGTTCGCTACACTCAAGTGATCTAATGACACGCACGATGATAAAGGAGATGATGGACGACCGAGGAGATGGCAAGGGTGACTTCAATAATAGCGGCCGTGGCCAACAATGGAGATTACGGTTACGGTTAGGGATTTGGTTCTTTTTTGTAACTTTAGAAAAAAATAAAGTTTTTTCATAAATATAATATTTTAAAAAATCAAAATTATCAGAGCATGACTCATACCACTTAACGAAAATTTTAATGGTCATTACGTCTGGGAAACTAAAATGGTAACATTTGTAACGTTAGACACCTATATAATTCAAAAAAAAGGTTGAGTACCTATTTAAAAAAATAGTATTGTTTGAACACTTATTTTATAATTAAGTCATTTATAATACAAAAGTTAAATCTTTTCTTAATAATTTTTTTTTCTAATCTCGTCATAAATTTATAAATATTATTATCTATTTCACCGTATTTTTTAACTTTACAAATAATGGTAAAAAATTATTGTTTGATTGATTAAGTATCAATTTAATTTATATAATTCATGTTATAACATACATGAATATATGATTTGAAAGTATTTAGATGTATAATATTTTCCAATATATGAATTTAAAGAGGTTTAAATAATTTAGACATTATATAAAAATAGGGTAAACTATGCAGATAGTCCCCTATGTTTTCGGTCTGACCGACTTTGGTCACCAATTTAAAAATTAAGGGGAATAGTCTCTAAAGTTATCGATCCATTCGATTTTAGTCCCTCATCCATTAACTCTCGTTCAATTTTAATCCCTCAGCCATGTTAGGGACTTCAACAAAAGATGGTTAACGAAAATTAATAGCCGAGGGACTAAAATCGAATGGGTTGATAATGATAGGGACCATTTCTCCTCAATTTTTAAATTGACGATCAAAGGCAGACATACCATAAACATAGGGGACTATCCTCATAGTTTACCCATAAAATATTATATGTATTATTTTTATTATGAACTCTATTAAATGTCACTATAGCAACGTTTTTATTTTATTTTATATGTACTTTTAAGCATTGTTAAAAAGTATTCCGACACTAGTAAGAGCATTGTAAGAAGCGTCGCAAAATGAAATGTCGCAATAGTTTCTGATGCTCATGAACATAAAATACTATTAAAGGTCAAGTTAATTGTCATAATACATAGCAATGTTTGTCGATCAACATCGCAAATTACTTTGTATTTAGTGACATTTATTCCACCAAATGTCGTTATATATTGTGATTTGTAGTGACATTTTTATCACAAACGTCGCTATTGACTATACATATAGTGACTTTTTTCTATAAATGTCGCAAACGTGTATGCCATTAGTGGCGCTTCATCCCAAAACATCGCAAGAACGTGAGTCTAGTTGTGTTTTTTTACAAACGTCGCTATTCTTAACTAATTTAGAATATATTTTTTCTGCTCTGTATTATTGAAATTTAATATCCAGTAACACTATCTAATAACAAAAAACTTGAAATTTAATTATAACTCAAATTAAGTAACTTGTTATGATCTCTATTCTGTAATGAATTGAAGAAGACATAACTTTTATCATATTTTAGTCAGCAAATTAACGTCTAACTTAGACGGACTATTCATATATTCTATTTTTTAACAAATTTAAAATATATAAATAATCAAATAATTATTTTACAACTTTTATAGTTTGAAGACTTAACAAAATAATACTCTATAATCAAGTAATTCTTTTATACTCAATAAAGTAATGTTATGTAGTCGGGGATAATTTATATATTTTACCCTTTAAAGTTTTATTTTGTAAATTATTTAAAAATATAAAATACTTTAAAATATTTACCAACTCATTTGACCTAAAAAGAATCTAACATAAATAGTAAAAATCTTATCCTTAAAGAACAATTTTATCAAAGAAATTACAAAACCTATTAGTTTGACTAATCCCTTTATTCCGTGCTTAATCCCCGTATTTGTTTAAAAATCAGCCAATTAAAGCGTTCCACGTAAGCGACAAATTTCAGTTTAGGAACTACGCTAACGCGACTTTTCTTGTTAAATATACCTAAGAACAATTTTATCAAAGAAATTACAAAACCTATTAGTTTGACTAATCCCTTTATTCCGTGCTTAATCCCCGTATTTGTTTAAAAATCAGCCAATTAAAGCGTTCCACGTAAGCGACAAATTTTCAGTTTAGGAACTACGCTAACGCGACTTTTCTTGTTAAATATACCTTTTTTAAATAATTTTGGATAAACTATGTATTTAGTATATAAACTATCAGTTTTGATTCGTTTTAATATCTTAGCTTTCATTTTTTTTCAAAAGCATATCTAAAATTTATTTTTCATTTAGTACCCATCATTAAAAACTTTAGTTTTTATTTTATTTTAGTATTCTTATTCAAAATTTAACGTTAAGTTTTGAAAAATTTGTAAGTTTAGATACTAAAATGATCTAAAACTGATAATTTTAGTACTAAATGTGTTAAGGATTGGTGGATATTGAAATGAAATGAAAATTAAACGTTAGGTATATTTTGAAGGAATTAAAAGTTTAAGTACTAAAACAAATCAAAATTGATATTTCAGTTACTGAATGCATATTTTACTCAATAATTTTCTTTCTTGCAGTTTCCCTATATAAACTTTCAGTTTTGTTCTTTCCCCTCATTTCTTTCTGAAAAAAAAATGTTTACACTTTTAGATATTTAGTTTTCCTTTTTTCACTCTTTTTCTTAATTGTGTGTTTCTTAGATCTGTAAACGGAAAAAATGGCGATGGCGACGTCGTATTGGTGTTACCGCTGCAATCGGATCATCCGGCTGTTAAACCAAGACGCCGTCAGTTGTCCCGACTGCCGCGGCGGTTTCATCGAAGAGATCGGTAACAATCCCGAGGTGGGGCGGGCGGTCTACATGGGAAGTGACAGGCTCACTCCAGCGGCGAATTCGACAAATCCCACTCCCAGTACTGCCGTTCTCCGCCGTGGACGACGTAATGGCGGCAATCGTTCTCCTTTCAATCCCGTCATCGTGTTGCGCGGCGGAGCGGTTTCGTCCGTCTCTGCCTCGCCTTCGTCTGGCTCCGGGGGAGATTCGAGTGTTGAACAGAATGGGAGAGGATTCGAGATTTACTACGACGACGGAGCCGGGTCGGGTCTTCGGCCGTTGCCGCCTAGCATGTCGGATATTCTTTTGGGATCCGGGTTTTGACCGATTGATCGATCAGTTATCGCAGATGGAAATCCACAACACCGGGCGTAACGAGCAGCCGCCGGCTTCGAAAGCGGCGGTGGAAGCAATTCCGACGGTTGAAATAAACGAGTCCCATATGCACGGCGAACTGTGTTGCGCCGTTTGCAAAGAACAATTCGAAATCGGCACCAAAGTTAAAAACATGCCTTGCGATCATTTGTACCATTCAAACTGTATACTCCCATGGCTTCAATTGCGGAACTCGTGCCCCGTTTGCCGCCACGAATTACCCGTCGCCGATGGCCAAGAAGGATCCGTAACCGGTGACGGGTATTCGAATCCCTCTGAGGAGGTTCCGCTGGGGTTGACTATTTGGAGATTACCCGGCGGAGGGTTCGCCGTGGGGAGGTTTTCAGGAGGAATAAGAGGAGGCGGTGGAGAGAATAGAGATTTCCCGGTGGTTTATACGGAGGTTGACGGTGGTTTCAGCGGCGGCGGGCTTACACGCAGGGTTTCATGGGGGAATCGAAGCAGTAGAGGAAGGGAAAGAAGAGGGGTTTTCAGAAGAACTTTTAGGAGCTTATTGGGCTGTTTTAGTGGGTCAAATTCTTCCAATTCTAGGTCGATTTCAAGGTAATTTCAAACCCAGATTATCTGTATGTATATTAAGGAAAAAAATTGAAATGGGGTTTTCAAGAACTTGAAGAATTCATGAATTGAGATATTGTTCATACTCCATGGAAGCCATTGAAAAGGGTAAACTTTTCTTTAGTTTTCTTCTTCATTTTATTTCATTTAGTTCTCTATTTTTTATTTTTTTCTACAAGTACTATATCATATATTCTTGTTTCTCACATGAATGGATAGCCTTTTGTTACCTATATAGTTCCTTGTTTCGACTTCGAATTTTGTAACGCATGTATACTTTGTAGATACATCTGTTTGAATTTGAAACTTTTATAAAGACGATATTCTATTTAACTATTGAAATCACTCGATATATTATAAGAAGTTTGTCACAACTATGTTGCATTTTGTTACAATCCCCTTCTAATGCAATTGATTCCGGTGATTCTGTGAGGCATTGATTCGGGATATTCTTTTTTTCTCAATTTAGGAAGGTTTTTTAACGAAGACTCGAGCCGTCTTTGTAGGCTTGATTGAATTAATAACATACAAGACGCCTTTAAAAAAAACACCCATGCAATGAATCAAATTGATTTGAAGTGAGCATTAATGGAACATGGTTGAATGAGTTGTTTGTGTAGGGAAGTTGATTGATGCAACAAGGAGAAATGAATGCTTTTGTGTTGTCCAACAACCAAACAATTATTGGATTTTTACTCTTTGATTAATGCTTGATTGATTCCTATTCCATGGTCTAGGTGGGCGGTTTTGAATTTAATAAAGAGATTTGTCTTTGCAATTTTCCACCACTAATTAATAAGCCTTTTTGGACCCACTTTAATATTCTAATTCTATGATTTAGGGTCAAATTATTAAATTAATGGAGGTTTTTATATATAAATAACACTCCAAATGCATTTTGTCAATGGTAGTTTAAAAAAATTATTAACCAATAATTATTTAATATGTGGTAGTTATTTTGATAAAATAAAAAAATTAAAAAAATATAATTTAAATATTTAATTTTTATTAAACCTAAAATAAATAAATGAGGATTCCAATCTCTCTCCCACTCATGGCTTAACTGTAAATGGCAAATGCATGACTTTGATTCTTCCATCCATTATTGCTCATCTTGTTCCCAAGAGTTATGGCAACTTGGAACATTATGGTCAAAAGCAACAATTCATTACAAAGCATCAAAGTTTCCAATTATTGCACATGATAATTTGTACACATGATAAGTTGTACATGTTTATACCTAGGTTTTTGTTGGGAGAGTAATTTAACTCTCTCCGTTTCGTTTTAATCTTAATACGATAAATCTTCGTCTATTTAAAATTGGTATACCTTCAAAGATAATCTCTGGAAATTTTTAAGTCTCCAACAGGTATGACCTACGAAAACTATCAGATCTTCACCCATCAGAGTCTCTAAACTAATCTCGTCGATTAGCAAAGCTATTAAGGAACTCGTATCCTTCAAGCACGACTCTCGAGTCAATTACAATGCAAAGATAACTTATGATAGGTCTATGTAACTTACCGGAACGTAATCTAAGATATGATAATCAGATTTGTCTAGCCTGTTAGTATATAAATAGTCACAATAATCCTACACCGACACACGCACTAAAAACTACTATAAACATCCCCAACAAAGACTGATGAAAGGGTTGAAACTTTTCACAATCCAGACACAATCTTTTTTTCTCCTCTCTCCGGTTAACAGTAGTTTTCTTGTCAATTGTATTATCTTTGATCAAATTAGAAGAAATGAATCGTTAATAACCGACAAAATTCACTTATCGTAGTCAACAAAATTGATATTATCTTTAGAATTTTAATTTAAAATATAATATACCTCTCAGAACAAACATGCAATAATATGAAGCAAAATATCCAGAATTATATGGGAATAGGATTTGATTCAAGAATTGATCCTCAAGCAGAAAAAGCAGACTTGGACCGAAAATCAGATAATGGATAAACATATTTGAAAGGAAAATAAGACTGTCTGTTGTTGAACTTTGTTATCTTTGAATATATTATTAATAATTTTCGTAATTACTATAATATATAAAAATAATAATGTTGGTATGATATAAATTCACAATAAATTCAAAGGGGACAAATAGATTTTGATATTGTATTTGAAAATCATCTAGAATTCAGTTTAATTGTATTTGACCTACGACCTTGTATCACTAGGAGAAGAATTATTGGATACAACATATGTAATAATCCCGGGACAAATCGAGTCAAAACACAAGGTATTTCCAGAACGGAGAGCCAACTTAGCCAAATGTGCCATAGTATTACAAACTCTAGGCGCAAAAGACACTTGTAATTTAAATTAGTATCCAAAATCCTAAGAACTTCCCAAAGATGATAACTTAATGTGGACAAGTCCTCCTCCGATCGGGCCAAAGTTCCCATATAATGCTACAGGGAATTTTTAATTTACAAACTAAAGTGTTCATCCGATTAATTCTCCAAATGGGGTATTTTATACAGTAAATTTGGGATCTCTCGGCGTCTTCAGGGTTAATCAGATTTTTGGATTGTTTATTGGGATCTCTAGGCGTCTTTAGTGGAATTTATGAAAAAATTTGGCTTTTTTACACAAATATCACCTTAACATAAATTAATTACTTGTTAAGCACTGTTTAAGAATATTTTACGGATTTAATAAATTTTTAAATACTTTCTATAAATTTAATCATATTTTGTATTAATTAGAAGAATTGTCGCTTCAGTATAGATATCCACGTGTTGAGAGCGTATTTATAGCCGAGAGAAAATTTAAAAGCCGAGAAATCCGAATATAATTATTCAATGACCACTTTCCATTTTATAACTGTAAAAAAATAAAATAATTAAATAATATAATAAAAAATTAAATAATATAATAATTAAATAAAATACTAACAAAATATGATTAATTTTATAGAAAGTATTTAAAAATTTGTTTGATCTGTAAAATATTCTTAAACATTGCCTAACAAGTAATTAATTTATGTTAAGGTGATATTTGTGTAAAAAGGCCAAATTTTTTCATGGATTTCAACTAAAGATGCCTAGAGATCCAAGTAAGAGTAAAAAATAATCTGGTTCACCCTGAAGACGCCGAAAAATTCCAAATCTACCGTAGAAAACACAAACAATCCAACACCCTGAAGACGCCGAAAGATCCCACTAAAAAATCTGGTTAACCCTGAAGACCCCGAGAGATCCCAAATTTACTGTAGAAAACACCCCATCTGAGGAATTAATCGGATGAGCACTTTAATTTGGGAATTAAAAATTCCCTGTAACATTATATGAGAACTTTTGCCCCTCCGATCGAGACATCTTAATGATTATTTTTAGATCTATACATATACTTCATGACTTAATGATGTAATTATCATGTGCCGAATTCGAACATTTTATCAAAAATATTTCGATTATTTTTACGTAACGATGCTTATCGATTATTTTACTCAACAACACTTATTTATTCAATTTAAATACCTTGATTGTGATCTAAATTATGCAACAGGAGATGCACAGAATGTAAAGAAGCACAAATTCCAATAAAGCAACAATGAGTACACATGCATGGTTTACGTACCAAACATTCCTCGACTAGTTCATATTATTATTAAACAAACAATTCAAAATAAAACAAGTTTATTTGTTGCATGTTATTAGTTCAACCAGGCTTTATTGCCATCAAACATTCGGAGGTGCGACCGAATCGTCATCGGTCATTTGGAAGCATGAGAAAGGTAGATAAAAATGGCGACCAACACGAAAGCGAAGACGAGACCAATGTAAGCGGGAGGAGGCTGCAATGGCGGCATTCCGAGCGGAGCCAGAAACAGTAGAGCGACCACCAACAACATCATGGTCATCGAGCCGATACCGCAACCGAAATCTTCCATCTTTTTCTCTCGACTAATATTTCCTTCTCTCTTTACAAATTTTTCACTTGTATTTTTTTTTTTGTTGATGAATTCTGAAAATAAAAATGGAGTATTATTTATAGTGGTACTCATGTCTCTTCGTATAAATATAACTATTCGTATAAAGATTAACATGAGTAATTACATTTTTTATAACAATAATCACAACTCTTCGGTTAATAACTAAAATATATAACTTTTTTATATCTGAGAGATATCTTTTCCCAAGCCTTAACAACATATTGTCGTGTAGTTACGCTACTGTTTACGAGATGCGTTGATCCTACAGGGGCCTCTATCTGAACGTTCGGACGTAACACCAGCCCCCTTTACTTACACCTCTTCCTCTATGCACGGACGCTACTGATCTTCCTGAACTAGCTGATATAGCTTCCTTGAGTCTCAGGCAGTCCCTAATAAAATAATTGAGAGACTCACACTCGTTGCATCCCTGGTTCTTTCGCCAACACTCACTGGAATGTCTTCTCTTACAAAACTCACATTCAGGTATTGAAGTAGCTCCAGCGGACTCTCTTGAACTTGCTACAGAGGTGGTGTTGAGGGGTCTCCACCTTTGTCCCGAAACGAAACCCTGACTGGACATTCTAGACAACGTAGGAACTAAATTCCTCAACTCTCTGAAATTCTTAACTCTCTTGGCTGACGATCGAGAGGTTCTTCACGGATCTGGCATCCTCTTACTGCCCACGTTAGGCTCTCCCATTGATCTGGCTTTCATATTATATACTCGCTCTATGGCTCTTGCCTAGACAGCTCAGAAAATGCCTTTGGAGGATCCACCGCTAATTGAGCATGGATATCCAGATGTAATCCTTCCAAAACTCTCTGACACCTCAACACTTCAGTCGACACCAACTCCGGAGCGTACTGACTCAGCCTAAGGAAGTCTCTTTCATATTCTAACATTGTTCAGTCACACTGAACTAGTGACTATTGTAATCGTAGATCATCCTTGTGACCCTCTCCAATATATTTTAGGCATAACTCATTCAAAAAGAGTTCTCAGGTCGACTATTCCGGGTGCAAGGTTATTTCAACTATTTTCCATTAGTCAATAGCATCTCCCTTAAGAAGAGAGACAACACACTCTAAATTACCCTATGGAGTTATATGTATTTGCTTTAGGGTCCTTTGAGTTTCTCGTAGCCATTGATCTGTTACTATAGGATCATCTTCACTAGACCTAAAGAACTATATAGTTTCGTATATCCTAAGGCGTTCTACTGATGTTTCAGGCGTCGAAAGCAGATGAGGGACAAAAGGGGTAGGATGGGCTCTAGGAATAGCCCTCACTATTATTTGCAAGGCTGCGTTTAAGTTATGAAAATGAGTCGCTTCATCTACCACAACATCCTCCTCTAATCTCGTTTCTCCAAAATCCAGGATGAGTTCATCATCTGAATAGTTTGAGAGAGATGCTTGACTTTCACTTCGAGCCTCTTGGATCCTTTCAGGTTCACTAGTCATTCTTTATCTATTTTCTACAATAATAAAACAAAGGAAAATGCCATCAAAATCCCAAACATAGGAGAGTATATATAACTCTAAGGCACATATCATATTTTTGCACACAACACTAACGTTGGTCCTAAGGCCGACTCAACTTGACGCTCTGATACCAATAAATGTAATACTTAATTCTCTATGGGTCCAAGGTGCTACCTTACTGAGATCAGTACAGACTCTTTAAAAGGAATGGACACAATTAACAATAATTACATAAATATTCAAACATAAAAAATTTCATAAAAGATGGAGATCCATGTATTAAATGTTTTACAAAACAATTTGTCAAAACTTAGTTTCAACACACCTTATACAATCCATAATAGAATACATTTAGACTCGTACAGAAAAACATGCATGGATACATCAAGCCTAATAAAAGAATATAGAAATGTACTATGAAAGCATGCATTGGGATTTTACTACAATGGTGTTCCAAGATAGATATCTACCGCTATTATCCTAAAAAAAGAACAATGGAAAAGTGAGTTACTATTTCCAGTAATGAACAAATGTTCTAAATGGTTCAAATGATATAAATTATGTAAACAATCAATGACATAACCTTTGTTATTGTTTTGACACCATTATCAGAATTACCAAACGGTACTTGAGATTCTTTCGGGGCTCTCGTGTGAGTCACTTTAATCCTTTGTGGTTGCTTTGTAACTCACCTTTTGTACTAGTAAAACAGTTTCAGACTGTACTAGTAATATCAGAAATCAGGAGTCAACTGTACTTTGTGTCAGAAATAAAAAATTAGAAACCAGATATTATAAATCTTACTTTATAGAAATTAGAGAAAACATTTTTTTGTCAATAGAGAACACACTAAAGGATCCAGATATTTTCGAATGCGCATCGAAATTATCAGGAATAGAAAATATGAACTTACGAAAAATTAATCGGATTTCAGGAACGATGTCCCTATTGAAAGGGTTTATTTGTTAATAGAACCAATCAAACTTTTATATATTGATATTCCAGGACCAAAAAGGATTCGAGTGCATCAAGAAGGTATTCAAGAACCTTTACGTCAGAATGATTTAGGACTCAGATATAACCAGAGTGATTTTATTATTCGAGCATTACATGTATTATGATTTTTTTTGGGTGGATTCTTAGTAACTTAATCCAATAAGGGTGAAATGAAGATTTACGGTATTCACGATTCATTTCGACTTATCATGATATCAGTAACTTAATCTAATGGATCTTGAGGAACTGTTAACCACCTTAATTGACTGGAAAATAGTTTAGACACCTAAATTAGAAAAGTATATAGTTTGAACACTTATTTTTATATTAAGCCTAAAAATATGGTTTAATTTCTTCATAAAATAAAAAATAAGTTCAGTCGTTTGATATTTTATTATTTTATATTAAATTATAAAAAAATATATCAATCGATATATTATGAATGCAACAAATTATGTTGAGAAATATATAATCAACCTCTGTTATATTTTATTTGTATTAATTGATGATAAATCAACATTGATGGTAACTCCAAAATATTTGATTTTCTAATAAAATTCTAGTCACTTTTTGATATTATAATTTTATTTAAGAAAAAGGGGAAATATTGAAAAATAAATAGAGTTCAAATGAAACTAAAACTCTAATAGACAAAATCGACAAAGGTTGAGAAATTAAAGGGAAACTAAGTATGAAATTATCCAAAAATGTAATTAAAAAAAGTTTCAAAACGGCGTCGTTAAGGGAATTTATTTGTTAAGGTCCAGATCAGAGAAAAAAGGTATATATATATATATTGTTTGCAAAAAGCTGACGAGGAACTCCGGAAAGGCGGTAGGCGATAAAAAGCCTAACTCGTCCGAGTAAACTCGCTCCTTCGCAGACTCAGTCCTTTATTCTTGTATCTAGTATCTCCGGCATTACATTTCTCGTAGAAGAATGCGATCCGCCGATCTCCGTAAGTCACCTTTTGTTCTCTTTCATTTCGTTATTTCGTCATTTCGTCATTTCTTATCCATTTTTGTACGATTATTCGGAAGCTTTTAATCTATTGATTACGGATCTGTTCATTGGAGCCGCTTGATTATGTAAATAATGAGATATTAGGAGTTTTAGTGATTTTAGCAGGAAAATCTATTCAATCTGATTGCAAATAGAATCATTTCGGGTTAGGTGAAATTTTGAATGATATATTTGAATTTAGATTAAAATCTGTTGGCGAGTATAGGAAATGAGAATTCAATATGATTTCAATGGGTTGTTTTTTCTCATTAAAGGTTGTTATATTTTTTGTGCAGGTTTCTTTTGTGGACTCAGTATGGTAAAATTGATTCGTTTAATCTGCTGAGACTGGAGCATTTTAGAATCTTTTTTCATTGTTAATTGTATTTAGTTGAGCTGGTGAGTTTGGTTTGCTAAATCGATGAGTTTCGTCTTACGAGGAATGAGATCGGATTTAGAGAGTGGATTTCCGGCTATTATTCCGGACAGGTGGACTCTGGTATGTTGCTATTCTTTCACAGTTCACACACTTACATTTCCATTGTTCTGGTATGAAACATCATTCCATTTTGGCTTTGATTGTTTGAATTGATGAAAAAAAAATCCATTTGTTCAAGATAATGTTACTGATTATTATGACTTAAGGTTAAAAATGCTTTTAAGAGATTCATAATGTTGCCAGGCCAATGGTGCTTAGCAGCTTAGGCTAGGCTTTTTTTATTTCCAGTTATGTTTTCTTCATTCTCGATTGTTTTTAGTTCATTTTTCCTGGTAAATATGTGTTGATTTAAGTCAATTGGTTCTTAGCGGATCCACGCAGGACTTCCGGTTAATTCCAACTCTCTTGCGTTTCTCGTTACAAGCACTTGTTTATCATTGTGTTTATCTTAATTATTTCTCCCTCTCTTCTTCTTTTTTAAATATTTTCCTTGTTGCTACATTCCTCCTGCTATTCATGATTTTGAATTCGCAACAGATGTCACCTAATTTTCTGGTAATTTCCTTCACCAAGTAGTTAAATTTCTTATGGTATTTGCTTCTTTGGTTCAAAATGTTGAACTAATCTAAGGGGCTTTTATGTTACTCTGTTCATGCAGCTTTGGCTGGTTCTTGGTGTGTTTTTTATGGAAACAACGTTAAGAATGTATGCTACTTGGCAACAGCTTCAAGCTCAGGCACAAGCCCATGCCGCGGCAGCGAGTGCACTTTTGGGCCACACTGAACTACGGTTGCATATGCCACCCTCAATTGCAATTACAACCAGAGGGCGTCTACAAGGTCTTAGATTGCAGCTTGCTCTTCTTGAGCGAGAATTCGATGGTCTTGGTATGGTGTTCAAAATTTGGTTTCATAATGAATTTCTTGAGTTTCTTCGTTTGTTTTCAAGTGGCGGGGATTGTAAATTTGCAAACCTTATCTAGGACAGCTATTGTTTGTTCCTTATTCCTTTCCGGTTTTGTGCTTCATAATGCTCAGACGAAGTTATTTTTTTCAAGTAGATTATGAAACTCTGAGAGCACTTGATTCCGACAATGTCCCCAGCGCAGGTTCAATGAGTGAAGAAGAGATAAATGCCCTGCCAGTTTTCAAGTATAAGGCCTCTGCCAAAGGTTAGTATCCATTTTCCTTGGGCAACATTGTTTTGGTGTATGAACTAATAGTCTTACGAGAAGTTGGTTTTGCTGACAGCAACGACTCTCCGATGCAACAAGCGTCGTCTTCCAACTTGCTCCTTTTCTCCATCTCAACATGATTTAATCGAGGATTCACTCCGGCCATGATTTACTTGAATGGAGATTTTAAAAGGTATGGTTCCGGAAATTTTTTGTTTTCGGTAGAAGAGGCAGGATTCTATCAATCTAATCAGCATCATGAAGGGTTCCGAAGATGAATTGACCTGCAGTGTTTGCTTGGAGCAAGTAAACGTCGTCGGTCTTATCCGCAGTTTACCCTGTTTGCATCAGGTTCTCTCCCCCCCCCCCCAACTCTCAGTGATTTTTAGTTTTCATCTTGTATTGCCTCCTCCTTGAGTTTATGATGGATAACTGCAGTTTCATGCTAACTGTATCGACCCGTGGTTGCGACAAGGTACGTGTCCCGTTCGTATATTTCGAGCAGGATCTGTATGGCAGGAAACCGATTGTATAGACGCTTCCTACATGGCTTAGTTACGCTTCGAGAACATATGATCATATGATCACCTAACAAGCAAAGTGGATCGTTGTTCTGCTTCTTCTTATCAATTATGCTGCCGAATCGGTTTTCCGGTGGAAAATTGGCTTAATATTGCCAATAATCATATGATCATCTAACAAGCAATGTGGATCTTTGTTATAAATTATCATTCCGATAGTATATTAATGATAAAATTTAATGATAATTTTGTCACTGCTTAAAATATTTAATGATCATTTTATAATTGTTCTAATAATTTAATAACCATTTTGTAACTTTAAAAAATATAGTGATCAAAACGATTATTTGAAGATAATTTACTGGCCTCTTATTATTTTATTCTAAAATATATTTATTATTTAAATAATATGATAAACATGATTAAACTATTCATTTCACTCTTATCATTTAAACCAACCATACAAATAATTAGCACGAATCAAGCGGCCTCGGTAATTAAAGAATTATTATTATTCCTTGAAGTCCCGAGTTATTGCATCAAAAATGCAAGGGGTGTGAGAGTTTAATATCAAACGATGGAGAGTTATGTACAAACAAGTGATGTCTTGTACTGACTCGGATTAATAAAAAACATACAAATAATTAAGATTATTTATGAGAGATCCCATCAAATAGTGCTATTGTGGTGCATGTTTAAGAATTATTAAACATTTGTCATCCCAATGGTATTATTTCAAGAGACAAATATTAAAAAGCATACCTTAAATTAAAAAGGCCATGTTAGCGTTCAAGATTTAGGTAAAGTCCAAATGCAATGCACAAAAAAGGCAAGGAGAGATGGGAGTTTGGTGAGGTGTGGTCTAAGTATATACACCCACAAACATAGGCAAAGGTACCTGTAATTCAATGCTTGAGATGGTCTAATAAATTATTATATTTGAGACATTGTCCCTTGGAGAATAAAACAAAGGGGACACTTACCCTTCAATTATTGTCCATTCCCAATGGCCAAAACTTTCTCATAATGAACTAAAATCTCATGTGGAAAAAAAAAGCCCACACCACTACCATCCCCAATAGTTCCATTGCCAAAGTGCCAAAATTCCTAGGGTAAATTACGCGTTTAGTACCTAAGCTATTAATTTTGGCCCAATTTATCACTTAAACTTTTAATTTTTTTAAAATCATACTTAAAGTTTAGCTTTATTTCATTTTAGTACCCCTATTCAGAATTTAACGTTATTTTTGGGGGGGGAAATTGAAAGTTTAGGTAATAAGGCGGATTGAAACTGATAGTTTAGGTACTAAATGTGTAGTTTACCCAAATTCCTATTATCTCAACTGGGGGTGTGTAAAAAATTCGATCCGAACGATCCGATCCATTAATCTGGTGACTTGATTCGAAAATTCGAATATCTGAATCATTTTTTATTTTTGAATAATTCGGATCGAATATCCAAAAAAAATTGGATGATCTGATCGGATATGAATCATATAAATTTCAATTTAAGATTATCTGAAAATCCAAAAAAATAGGCTTTTAGATTTTATATACTCTTTAGCCCAATAAATGAGTAACTCATTAACTCGTAAAGCTCCAACCCAATAAAAATTAAAATATTTGATTATTTTTTTATGTAAGTATATATATAGACAGTTGAGGTATTGAATGAGTTACATTAAATCATAAAATATAATATATAAATTTATTTTTTTATCAAATTAAATTTTATATTCGAATTCTGATATTTAAACATTCGATCTGAAAATTTAAATATTTAATTATTTTTAGATCAGATACAAATCACTATTTCAAGCATATGAAATTTTCGGATAAAATCAACGGATAACAGAATTTACATTATCAACAAGTTTAGGCAATTATGGGACCCACTTTAGGTTAGTCTCCTATCATATGTGAATTCTTAGTTTATATTTTATTTTTGATTTAAGTCTCGTCGTATGTGATTATGTATAGATTTATTCTAATTTAGGTTTGGATGAGTTGGCTCAACAAAAAGGTTTGGATAAGTTTAACTTATGAGTTGATTGTATTTTGTAATAATTAGTTGGGTAAAGCACATTAGAGATCATCCAACTATGCTCAAATGATCATTTTGTTCATTAAGTTTACAGTAAATCATAAAACGATCATTCAATTTATCAAACGATTATAAAATAGTCACCAATTTTATTAAATTATCATAAAATTACCATTATTGTTTATTAAACTGCTAGAAAATATCATCAAATTTATTGATTTCTTATAATTATTACAATGTTACAGTGATTATTTTATAATAATTTAATAAATTTAATTATTATTTTATAATTTTCAAAAGTTTGCTGACTAAATGATCGTTTTAATATAATTGAATATCTTCTAATACATATTATCCCAATTATTTTAGTTATAATTATTCAAATGTGTGTGTATTTGCAACTGTAATTATATTTATGAGTATATTTCTAATTTTAAAATATCACTCTAATTCAAAAATATTTGAGAATAATCTAATTTAACTCTTAAAATTATATATATATATATATATATATATATATCAAATTCTTATTTTCTTTAGCCATATGTAACATTATAAACTTAGCAAAACTCTTGTGAAGAAAGGGTCCCATTTTCCCTTGCCTCCACCATGTGATAGACGGTACAATTTGGAAGGTGACCACCCAATGGGGAAGTGCCATGTAGAATGTTACCAATTTCAATGTTTATAGCATATATTGATAGAAAAATGTTAAGGGTAGGGTGTCCTTGATGTGACCGTTGACAGAACATGGACCTAAAGGTTCGACTTTTTTGTAGAGCTTGTCCTATCTAAGGTAATCCCCAGGGTTACAGCTTAGCCCAAAAAAATATTCATTATTTTGGCTTTTAGGGGATTCCTTTAACACCTTGTTTGGTTTAACACACTTAAAGAAGGGAGATTCTGTTGTACAACCGCCTCATTTCAGGCTAAGGGATTACCTAAAATCAATAATGCGATAAAAAATATAATATTTTTCGTCTAATGTAATTTAAAATATTAATTTTTTAATATATTTTCGGTTGCACCTATTTTCGATAATTCCTTAGTCTTAAATTGGACAATTGTTCCTTAGGACTTTCCCCTTAAATGATAGATATGTACGAGTGCCATAAATTGGTGTTAAAGTTTGAAGGGTATAGTGCCATAAATTAGGCCTAAATGAATTGAAATTAAATAAATGTATATGATTGAATTAAGATCAATGTTTGATTTTAGGGTTTGTGGTTGTTTCTCTAAATAATATCATTTCCAAAGTTCATGTTTGAGTTCTTTCTAAAAGTACAACATGTACCCTTCAATTTAATTTTTTTTTCCTATTTATAATGCCAGGATTCGAAATCTTAAACGTGCTGGATGGACTTAACCTAATGACTCGCATTGATAGACCAACTAAGGCCTTTCTTAATAAAAATCAAATAATTGAGGCTTATTTGGGTTTTTAGCAAAAGAACAAGGGTCTACTTTGAAATAAGTGCAATAGTTTAAAGACTTTTGAAAAGGGGTTCACTAGTTACATTGAAAACAAAAGATGTGGAGTGTTGAGTGACAAATTATTGACTTATTGAGACTAAATTATTGATATTTTATATAGGCTATAGCCACAAGCTAAGATTCCACAATCAATTAGCAAAAGACAAGGAAAGATTTTGAGCCATTGTTTGCATATAAATTGGGGGCCAAAATGCCACTTAAGAAACCCAACATTATAAAACTCAAAATAGATCAATACCAATTACCGTTTTTAACCTATAATAGTGATTATCAGAATCAGATGAGATCAAATTATTAAATCGAATAACCGATAAAGTTGAATCCATTTTTTTTTACAAAGTTAGGTGCAATTAACAATAAAAATCAAATTTAGGGTAGTGACAAAGATGAGACACCCAAATTTCAATCAAAGATACTTAATCATTTTAGATAAGATTTATGGGGTCCCCCCACTTTCTTTGATTGGCTTATTTAGGGTTACTTAAGTGATACCTCTAGACCAAACTTTAGGAATTGTTGTTATATTATCCCCTCTTTTGCTACCTTTATCATTCTTTTATTAATTATACTTTGGGTCCTCGAGTTTTAGATATTGAGTAATTCTATTAACATAGTTTCAATCGATTATCGAATTTATATATAGATCTTAAATCATAATCGATTAAAATTGACTTAAGTGCTTAAAAGAATCCTAAATTTTTGAAAAAAACCCATTTCAGTCCTTGAACTTTTAGGGTTTTTCTATTCGGGCCTTAATTGATTTAAATACTCAATACGATAGTTATTGGGTGCAAAAAAAGTTTAGGGACTAAATTTGGTTTGTTTTCAAAATTTTAAATTGTTTTTATCCTTAAACAGTTAAAATTTTATCAATTAATTGAGACTGATTTGATTGTACTCTAATTTTGCACACCTTAATTTGATTGCCTAGAAAGTGCATGCCGTGAAGAAAATTTGGGAAGGAAAAGGAAAGAAACAAAGCTTATTCTTTGACCTAAATCTATTATTGTACCAAGTTGTCTTAGCCCAAAATTGCACATCAATGACAAGTTACAAGTATGTGATTTGAATTTCGTTTGGTCTTATCTAAATATTTGTGGTACGACATGTTTAATGAAAAATATGGTACAAATTTATTTAATTATGATCATTATTTTCGGATATATATATATATATATATATGCACGAATCAAGCGACCTTTGTGGTAAAAAATTGTTGTTATTCTTTGAGGATTCGAGTTCGAGTATCATAAATGTCAGGGGTGTGAGCCTTCAATGTTAAAATATTGAGAGTTTATCTTTGAACATATATTATCGTGTACTTACCCAGATTAATAAAAACAACTATATATATATATATATATATATATATATATATATATATATATATATATATGTGGTTCTAGGGTTTGATGTATTTATATAAGTTCTTAACTATCTATGTTATTCTTTTGTGATCATTTATTTGTTATTGTTATTTTTTATTCATTGAATTGGAATTGTAAATGAATATAGCATTCAATGAATAACTCGGGAATTATTTGTGTTTATTAATTTATAATAATCTATTAAGTTAAACAAATGAATTTAAACAAAAAAATATATATGTTTATTTATTAAACGAATAAATGTAATAACGATGTGTGTGGTTTGTTTATGTTCACGAATGAAATCATTTATTTATATGTGTTGTACTTCTTATAAAATATAGTTAAATATATTTATAGTTATTTCTTTATATTATCAATATTTATATTTAATTATTTTAAATTTAAAAAATAGCGATAAGTTCACTTATGATTTATTTGTTTATTATTTATTTTTTATTCATGAATGTATTTGATTATATGTTCGTTTAATGTACATTAACGTTAAACGAATATATATAAATACATTTAATTTTAAAGGAACGAACACAAATATAATTATAGTTTGATTTAACTCTATTTCAAATATAGAAAAATATTGGATTAAAAAAGATAAATCATCAAGTTTAAGTACCAATATTAAATTTTGATTATGATTAAATAATTTTAATTATAATTAATAAAGTCCATGTGTATCTTATCAACGTTAATATCACATGTGCATTTTTTTGAATTAATCAATATTATCCGATCTATTGACCGACTAATCCAGTTCGAGAACTGCAGAGAAGAGGGCGACCCTCCCAACCCAGTTTGCTCCGTTCGCAAACGTTAGGATTTGAACCCCTGACATTACTTAAGAGTCCTAATGCCTCATCCCACTAAACTAACTGGTTGATGGTATCATATGTGCATTTCTAATTCATATTGTTCTAAGATTTAACATTCAACTACTTATCACTCTATTAAATTTAAAGATTAAATAAATATAATGTTGAATTTATCTATAAAAAAATTACCACCACGGATTATTTGTGAAAGTGAATTACCAACATACCCTTATTTAGGATAAGTGATCAAAGTGATCCATATTAGGACATGGATATTTAACTCGAGTTCGATAAGATTGTTTTTTTAATAAAAATTTGTATTTGAGTCCAAAAAAAGTCCCTTTTTTCAAGTTTTAAATCTTATCTTAATCATATCTAGAGGGCGGGACAGAAGGGACTTTAGGGGAAATAAGCGGAATGTTCCTAGTGGGTGTAGAACTCATGACCTAAAGGAAGTAAGAAGAATGTTCCTAGTGGGTTACAACTCATGACCTAATAGAATATGACGAAAAAAATGAGCAGTTTGGCCCAAATGTGCTTGCTCGATAATTTTTTTATTTAATATAATATGATGTTTATCTACTATATATTTAAGAATACTTACAATAATACTCTTATGTATATTATTTTTCAGTTAAATCCTTATTTTATTTAGAGTAAATTACGTATTTAATATATAAACTATCAGTTTTGGTCTATTTTAGTGCATGTACTTACAATTTTTTCAAAACCATACCTAATGTTTAGTTTTTATTTCATTTTAGTACCCGTCGTTAAAAACTTTAGTTTTTGTTTCATTTTAGGTTCTCGTTCAAAATTTAACGTTAAATTTTGAAAAACTTGAAAAGTTTAAGTCCTAAAACGAATAAAAACTGATAATTTAGGGGCTAAACGTGTTATCAAAATAAAATGAAAACTAAACATTAAATATAATTTTAGAAAAAAAAATATGAACATTTAGATATTAAAACGGGCCAAAACTGATATTTAAGTATTAAACGTATAATTTACCATTTTATTTAATAAGAATTTTATATATATTCTTATTGAAACGGTCAAACCTTAATTTTAATTGATTCAGGTAAATAAAATCTTTCTAAACCCAAATCAAATTAAATAAAGTAAAAAAAAAGTTATTTTCCGAATCAAATTCAAGTAGGCCAAAAGACTCGTGATCATCCCTACTCATGATTAGTAAAAGGACTCATATTTGCAGGACAATATGGTCATTTGATGACAGTAACTGTTGCTTCAACAAGAACCCATCTACTCAAATAGAGAAGATTTATTACCTCTTACAAAATTTCAAAAAGAAACCCTAAAAGCCTACGTTCTAATCCTAAAATCCAAATCAAGGATTCAAACAGGACTGTGGTCGCGTTCGTTAAGATTACGAACATAACTAATGTTATTACAATGATTACGAGTATCACGGTCACACAGAGAACACTGTTACTGCTATACCGCGACCGAGATCCCAGTCACGGCATATAACATTATATATATATATATATATATACTTACAAAATTTCAAAAAGAAATCCTAAAAGTCGACGTTCTAATCCTAAAATCCAAATCAAGGATTCAAATAAGATTATGGTCGTGTTTGTCAAGATTACGAACATAAACAAGATTGTGGTCGCATTTGTCAAGATTACAAACATAACGGATGTTATTACAAGGATTACGAGTATCACGATCATATATAACGGTCACGGAGGGCACTGTTACTGCTGTACCGCAGGCGAGATCGCAGTCGCGGCATATAACATTATATATTGTTGTTGCTTGGACGCCATTAATAAATCCAAAATCCCAAAGCTTTGTTATCTCTCGAGATTAAACTTCAGAATTCGGTTCAAGAATCGGCAAAATCCCGCCAGCAGACGAGCATGGCAACGCAGCGCCTCATGATGTAGAAGCGAGCCCTTTGTTTCTTCACAAACTTGGCACATTTCCTCGTGAAGGCGCATCGTTGCCTACTCCTCGCCGTGAAAGACGACGAATACGATGACGAAGAGAGGCTTTCTCTCTTCGAAAGCTTCCATTTTTCATCCAAGTAGAAGCTCCGCGGCTGCGCCGTGGTTGAAGAAGATGAATCCATGAAAAAAACCCAGAAAGAGAAACAGAAAGTTTAACTTTTTTTCAGCTTAGAAACGGATCAAAGATGTGTTTTTCTGGAAGAAAGAGATGATTTTGAGAGATCAGTGGGGGTGGAATCAGAGGTGAAAATCTGGATTTTCAGAGGATTTAGATGACTACTTATAATAGAGTTAAGGCTGGAAATAGAAAAATAAAAAAAATAATGAAACAAGGGTAAATTGCACAATCAGTATCTATATTATCAGTTTTAATCCGTTTATGTAAACTTTCATTTTTTTAAAATCATACCTAATATTTAGTTCTTATTTCATTTTATACCCGTCGTTAAAAACTTAACGGACGGGCTGATGTGACTAACTCCGGTGAACGGATGACCAATCTGAATGGTGGACTATGAGAGAATGACGAATCGACCAACATAGGCCAGTTTCAGGTCCATATGATGATAGATCATGGAGATTGGAGGATGAAGAAATCGAAGAGTCCATCGTTCATTTGGAGAAATTGAGGCGTTTTACAGTGAAACAAAGGTTGAAATCGCGTTCAAGGGGTTGAAAAAGTAGGACTTAAAAGTTTGGGATTCATTGGTTGAAGGATGCGATGATTGACAACTATGGACGCGACGGTCGACGAGCCCGCCGATTAAATTTTTAATGGCGTGTACTAAAATAAAATAAAAATTAATTTTTAAGTATAATTTTAAAAAATAAAAGTTTAAGTATTAAAATAGACTAAAATTAATAGTTTCGATATTAATTGTATAATTTACCCTAAAAATAAAATGGTAGACAGATGGTGTGGTAGTAGGTATCACCTGGCCTTCTTTCACCTCGAAAGACCCGCCAAAAGTATACATTTTGGAATCAATATTTACTAAGCACAACCGCATAAATAATCTAAATATATTCAAATCACATAAATAATTGAAATATATTCAAATAAAATATAAATCAAAATTTATTTTTGTAAGACTTAAAAATTAATTTGTCCCTTTAATTTTTCTTCGTCCCCGAGTAATGTAATGTATTCTGCAACAGTGCAACTGCACCCATCCAGTGGCGGAACTAAAGAGAGACTAGCGGTCATGGCCCTTCAAGATTTTAAAATTTATAATTTAGCCCCTAATTTTTTTAAAAATTCAGATTAAACTTTAAATTTTTTTAATGTTCTTAATTAAATCCCTTCCATTAATTTTAAAAATTCTATTTAACAACAAGTGGTAGATAAATGCTGAATTCAACCCAACAAAATTGTTTGTTTCTATGCATCAAGTGGCAGGTGAGAGCTGAAACTATTTCACATGCATGCATGTGAGTTTTCGAATACTTTCTTCATTATTTTTCATGTTTTTTCTTCTTTAATTTCTATATAAAAAGATTCAGTCAAACATGTAGGGTTTGATTTGGAACAATACAACATATTTTTCATGTTTTTTCTTCTTTAATTAAGACGTGTTTTTAACACATTATCGCTGTCTGAAAATCTCTGAGGAACCTGAAATTGATTGGAGAGAAGAACAAACAACAAATGTATGATATAATCCGTTAGGTATACACATTTCGATCATTATCTAATGATTGTTATCAGAAATCAGTGATTGGAAAACATGTTTTGGAGTTCATGTCTTGTGCCTAAAGTTTTGAACTTGTCTGGTTTAACTTGTATCTTAATTTAGTATGTTTTAATTAAATGCTTCATATGATTGTGTTTCACGATGAACAAAAGCATATCCCTTAATCTTTGCCCATGTCCAAGGAATAGGGTTCAGCCACCATGACAATAATGTTTTCTATGTTCCTTTCTTGTATCGTTATATACATATATGATATATGTTATTCGAATTCAGATATAAATATCAGGCATCCGTTTCATATTCGATCACACTTCGTCATTTGGAAAAATTATACTGAATTAAGAATTTTTAAAGGATGGCATCAAAGATCATGGTGGGTGGTTAAGATATTGTCCTTGGACAAAATCATATACCAAAGTTTTGTAGTTGAAGCTAATTTGATGATTTCATAAGTAATTGCTATGATGATTAGAGGAAATGTGATGTCTTTGAATTGTTGAATCTAAATGTTTCAAACTTGAATTAATTAAAAAAAAGTCAACAATTTGATTTCACCCGGTTCGGATTTAAATTGATTCGAGCTAGAAATTATTCAAATCGAAATAATTCAAATACTTACACGGTGTAAGTACGTGTTAAGTGCTACACTTTTTTATTTTATTCACTTACACCGGTGCAAATATGTGTTAAGTGCTACACTTTTTTGTAGTACGAATTATGAAACATTTTGACATAATTATAATAGGTTAATTGTAGGTTAACTAGAAATCGAAGTGTTAATAACGTTTCTTAATGGTTGGATTATGGTTAGAAAAATCTTATAACCATTATAACAGTTAACCGACAATTTAGGCTAAACGGTACTGTTAACTGTCCATGAACAACCCTAATGTTATCTACAGACTCAAATCATATCGATTTGAGACTCGACAATAATAAAATTGAATTTAAACTATTATGGGTAAAGTACGCAATTGGTCCTCCGACAATAGGATGTTGTTTTATTGAGTCCCTTGACTATTAAAAGTTATAAAATGGTCCCCTGACTATAGGGCACTGCTTTGTTGAGTCTATAGACTATTAGAAATTACAAAATGACCACTCAACTATTCATATGTTACAAACTCGTTCTTTTATATTAAAAAATTGACGATCGTCTAAGCTGGACATTAACATGCTAACTGGAATATGATAAAATTTTATCTCAAAACCATTTGAATTGTATATTTGTTTGAGATTTTGGGATCAAATTTAATCATATCCCAGTTAGCAAGTTAACGACCAGTTCAGAGGACTGTAAATTTTAACTGAAAAGGACGAGTCTGGAACATATGAATAGTTAATTGACCATTTTGTAACTTTTAATAGTCAGGGGACTCAACAAAGCAATGACTTCTAGTTAGAGGATCATTTTGTAACATATAATAGTTGGAGAACTCAACAAAATAGTATCCTATAATCGGGGGACCATTGTGTACTTTCCCCAAATATTTTTATCCAGAGCTAAATAATTTACTAGATGTAAGTGTCGAATTTGGAGAAATTTTTGGGGGGGAATCTTTGTTTCGCTTGTGACTGTGAGCAGTGGATGAGACCAGTCAAAGTAAATACGAAATCAATATAAACAACTCAAGAAAAGTGTAAAAAATCTACACACACACACACACAGACATACATAACATGCCATGTAATCCAAAACTCATATTCACCCCTAATATGGATAAAATTATAAAGTTCAAAGTGGTCCAAATTAAAACTTTATGCCTTAAAATTAAGGCTTGATTGTAAAATAAGTGCCCAAACTATAGTGATTTTCACGAATAGGTGTCTAAAGTATTTTTTGAATGATCCTGATGTCTAATGTTACTAATGTTACCACTTTATGTGCCCGGGACGTCAACGACGTTAATTTCCTCTATTAAGTGACATGTGTCACATTCTAGTAATTTTAAAAATCTTATTTTTAAATTAAAAAAATAAAATTGTATTTAAAAATAGATATTTTGAAATAACCCCAAAATTTGAAAACTTTCATTTCAACCCCTAAACCCAAACCGACCGCCGCCCTTTGCCGTTGACGAAGCTCCACCCGACCTCATTTCTCCCCGACTAACAAAACTCCTATGAAACCGTGACTGGTCGACGATAAATCGACATTGTACACCCTGTGAACCCTAGGATGAAAATCACAATCCTACACGATTTCCACGGTCAATCGGTGACAACTACGATTTCTACGGTGATGGTCGTGGTCGGAAAGGACGACAATGATAGGTTAGGGTTAGCATTTTGGGGTTTTGGGTTTTTTTTTGTAATTTAAGAGAAATTAGGGTATTTTATAAAATATAATAATAATTTCAATGTTTAAAAAAAAATCAAAAGTATCAAATTGTGAAACATGTCACTTAACAAAGAAAATTAACGTCATTGACGGCACAGGTACATAAAACGGTAACATTTATAATGTGCATGGTATATTATACAAGTAATCCCTAATGTTTTAATAATTTGTCTTAAAACATGGCAATTATAGCAATCTTCCCCCTTCCTTTGACTCGCTGGCCACTAAGACATCGGAAACTTATTAAAATATTTAGGAACTTTACTAAATTTAAATTTAATTGCATTCCTATTATTTTGAGAAAATTACTAAATTTAATTGCTAAGGGTAACTTTACTTGGAAATCGGAAACTTATTAAAATATTTAGGAACTATTTATGTAATTTATCCTTTTTATTTTATATACTTACTGTGTCACATCAGCAACCCGATAAAAATCTAACGACGGTTAACTATTAATGACCACATCCTAATTAAATAAAAATGAAAGTGCCTAATTTTTTTTGAATTCAGTGAAAAAAACAGACAAAACTTAAATGAAAGTGATCAATCACGTAGTTTACCATATATTTTATAACAAATTTATTTTAATTACTTATAATAATTAAATCTTTAATAAATTCATTTTTTTAAAGCTCTACTTCATTTTCTAGTGCATCAAAGTTGAGAACATATACTTGCTTACTATAATATGATTTGATCATAAAATCTCAAACAACTATTATGTTTCAGTCATCATGTTAACGTACACCTTTAATAACCGCCAATTTTTAACTAAAAATGACGAGTTTGGAATATAATGAATAATATGGTGACCATTTTGCAACTTTTAATAGTCAAAGGACTTGATAAAACAACATTTTATAGTCAGAATCATTTTGTAACTTTTAATAGTTAAAGGACTTAATAAAGCAATAACCTATAATCGTGAGTTTATGTATTTTACCCTACGTATTAATATGTAACATTCGTTTTAGACTCATCTTGGACTGCCTTATATTTATTTGCAAAATCCAATTAAATTATCCTTAAATTATGAGTTTATAATTAATATGAAAAGCATAATATAAAAAAGTCTATAGACATTATCTTATGAAATAATTCAACCCATACCGTTTAATCTCTACTTTGAACCTTGCAATTTTTTAAGAATATTTTAAAAATAAAGATATATCGGTCGGAGCGAAGATGGAAGATTTCAGTTTCGCTATCGGTTCGATAACCATGGTGTTGATGGTGGTTGCTCTGTTGTTTTTGGCTCCGTTCGGAATGCCGGCATTGCAGCCCCCTTCTGCTTCCATTGGCCTCGTCTTCGCCTTCGTGTTGGTCGCCATTTTTATCTTCCTTTCGCATGCCTCCAAATGATCGATGAAGATTCGATAATGCCTCCAGATGTGGGATGAAATAAATTGGTCGACAAACAAATATATTTTATTTCGAGTTGATTTATTCGAATTTGTGATCTTCTCTTATATTATTTGGGTCACAATAGATGCCATTGCCAACTCCTTTAGTCTAGTAGTATGATTCTTTTATCCATTTCGGCTTACGTACATTGCATGCGTTTGTTCCTTCTTATATTTTAGGGTAAATTACGTATTTAGTACATAAACTATTAGTTTTAGTCAATAATAATAAAATGTAGGATAAATTAACTACCAGTTTTAGTCCATAATAATAAAATGTAGGATAAATTATGTGTTTAGTGCCTAAACTATCAATTTTAGTATGTTTAGTGTCTAAACGCGTTTAGACGTTTGTTCCTTCTTGCATCTTGAACACTAGAGGTTGTTTCACTATAGAATAGACACATCGTTCAAACATATCGCGATCATATGCACACATCATTCGAACATATCATGATCGTATGAAAACATCGTTCAAACATGTCACGATCATGCATACATCATTCAAACATACCATGATCATATGCACACATCATTTGAACGTATCATGATCGTATGAAAACATTGTTCAAACTTATCACGATCATGCACACATCATACACCAATTTAATAATTTTTAAATATGTTAAACTCAAAATAATAGATAAAAATAAAATTAGGACAAAAATTATGTGATGCAATCAATTTTTTTTAGATAATTTACCAATTTTAATTATTAAATTACCACAAAATTTACTAAAATTTGAAATTTTATCATACACCAATCCGATATTCCCAAATAATCACAAATTTCTTCCAAATTTCTTCTTTCAGCCAACTTTTGAAACCCCAATAATACAAAAAATGAAACCCCGAAGTACAAATAGTATAATGTATACCCACCCTCCAAATTTTAAGTTCAGGTCTTATTATAAAAGTGAGATTTACTCGACTCGATTTTAGATATAATCCGAGCCTCAAATGATTATCGAACATACATATACAAAATCAGATTTATCAAAATAACCTTGGAACGACATTAATCGATTTTGTATTCAAACACAAGATTATTTTTTTGGCGTCGTAATTGAGAAGAAAGCCTCGAGGTCTGGCGGTTGGAAGAATCCATTCGTCGGCGGTTGTTTCTTCGTGTAAACTGCTTGTTTCTTCTTTGGTGCTGGCGGACACGACGAAATAACCGTCATCTGTGTTCGTCGCTTCGGAGTCATATAGCCTTCTTCTTGTTCATAAATCTCCATGAAAACAAAAGCTCTTCATTTGAAGGTATTTATAAGAGAGATTAGGGCGGTATTTATAAGAGAGGTTAGGTGGGCGTTGGCTTCATATGGAAGTTGAAGATTTTCAAACGTACAGTGCAAGGAACCAATAAACCAAAAAATTTAATGTGACCACAATGCTTTGGTGGAATGAAAGGTGACGTTTTGGTTGGATTCTTTTCTAGGTTTAATTTCATCATCAGTCCCTATACTCTTTAAACTCTTGAAATTCAATCCTTTTGCTTGTTTGATTTAAAAACCAAAGTTAGGATAATTTATTTAACATTTTAAAACAAATTATATTAGTTATTTACAAATGATTATTTTCTGAAAAATATTTGTAGAATTATTTTTATCAGTGTATCAAATACTAATCTATTTATAAATGCAAGTAAGTTTAGACAAAATTTAAGGCATATAATTTGAGTCTAATTGGACTCGGAAAAACATGAAATATTTTTTTTGAATTAATCACTGGCATCCGATCTATTTACCAACTAATTCATATCGGGTACTGCAGAGGCAAGGGCGACCCTCCCAACCCAGTTTGCTCCATTCGCAAATGTCAGGATTTGTACCCCTAACCTTGCTTAAGGGATCTAGTGCCTCATCCCACTGGACCAACTAGTTGTTGGCGGAAGAACATGAAATATATTAATACCAACATATAACTTCTAACCTCACCCATGAACACTTCTAGGCTAGAAAGGCTAAATCCTTAAAATTAAAAGAGAAAGTATTATATTTAAAAGTATAGAGAGTGCAAGGACTAGAAGTGGAATTAAATTTAGTTTTAAGTAAAGTGGTCCTACGATGACTTCAAAAATGGAGAACTTTCAATTTTGAAAATTGGGATCGAGATTATTGCTACTTTCTTGATTACATTAGGTAGGCCATTATTTTATTAAAATAATTCTTAATATTCGTTTTATTGATGATTTAATTTAAATTAAATTTAATTATAAAAATGAAATTTATTTTATTTTTTAAAATAAAATATTATATTTTGTTATCAGGCGGAAATGGGTATTCTAATAATTTATAAAATTTTATTTAATAAAATAAATGTAGTAGTAAATGATTGATTCATTAATCATGTATTAAGTTGTGTTTTTAGATTTTTTATTTAATAATTATGTAAAAAGGTAAAATGTATCACTACGATCATATTAATTATTATATAAATAACAATATATTCTAATTAAATTAATGTACGATTTACTTATAGTATCAATTCAATCAGAAATATAATATTTATATTTTATATAAACTATTTTTATATATAACTTGAGAATTCATCGATCATAACCAATAAATGCAATAATTAAAAAATTTAAATAAAGATATAATTTTTAAAATATAATAATAAAAATATTTCATTCAGAACTTAATTAATTGCAGTGGGTCAGCCGATTCTATTGTTTTTGAGCCTAAAGTAAAAATGAAAGATAAAATGCGGTGAACATGGATCGAACACGTGACCTTCAGATCTTCAGTCTGACGCTCTCCCAACTGAGCTATCCCCGCCGTTGCTTTTTTAAGTAAAATCAAAAGTAAAACAAACTTATATTTTCAGTTCTCCCTCGTTCTCAGAAGAACCCCTTTTCCCCCTCAGCTCTCACTCATTGTTCCAGTCCAATAGAAACCCTAAATCAAAGACATGCCATTCATTTCGAAAATTCAGAGGCAAACGGATTACAATCGGTTCCCTCCATCAACTCCCATCGTCATCGACAATGGCGCTTCCTATTTTCGCATTGGGTACTATTCTCCTAACTTTTCGTCTTTTACCCATTAGAAAACAATGACTTATCGTCCTTCTTTTCCCCCCCTCTACTTTCGCAGTTGGGCTGGAGAGACTGAGCCACGGGTTGTTTTCCGTAACATCGTTCAAAGACCACGCCATAAATCCACTGGTATTGTGTTTTCTTATTCTTCGAGAACGAAAAGGAACTTAGGGTACGAAATAAGGTTAGAAATTAATTCTTTTGATTTGGGTTTTTGCAGGGGAAACTGTGACAATTGTTGGTGATCATGATACTTCTTTATTGAGATATTTCGATTGCAGTCGTGCTGGTCCTCGTTCCGCTTTCGATAACAATGTTATTTGTCAGTTTGAAATCATGGAATATGTATGTAGAATTTGAACATTTGAGATCGAATGCGAGGCTGAATGTGAACTAGAAATGCATTTGATTTATGAGAATATTGATAATGTTTGGTGTTTGCTTGGATGTAGATATAGAAGTTTTGGAGTTTTGAGCATGATTTGGCAATCCTAACTTTATTCGTTTTGTACTTGTTTCTACAGATTCTCGACTTTGCATTTGATCGGTTGGGTGCTAATGGATCTCAGGTACTATGATAAGTTTACTGCTTTTGTTTTCATCTCTTGAATGATCTAATGTGTCACAATTAAATCGTTTTGAGATAGTAGTTTTTAGGTGAACTTAAATTTTTCTTTGAACTTGCATGTCTGGAGACTATATCACTATATACGCTTTTGGCCTGACATTTTTCTTTCGCTCATCGATTTGTTGGCTGTCGGCTTTCTTTACTTGGCATTTCGATTTCATTTAGTCCTTTCTTGATTTGTTGTTTATTTGAGGCCAGTACAGATTGATCATCCTATCTTGATCACGGAATGTGTATGCAACCCAGTTTATTCCCGCAGTAAAATGGCAGAACTTCTTTTTGAGACTTACGGGGTTCCATCTGTAGGTATAAAGAACTCATTTTAATATTGTATCTTAGGCTAGCTTGTTTTATCCGAGTGATGCATTGTCTTGCATGCACGAGTGTCGAGTAAGGCTCGAGTTTCTTGAAAATAAGTCTTTGGCATTTTATTCGCATTAATACTTGCCATGTTTTTTTAATCCGTATCTTTTAATACAGGGAACTATTTGTTCTCTATTTATATGATCTCTGATGTTTGATTTCTCTGTTTGAGATTTCAGCATTTGGTGTTGATGCTGTTTTCAGCTATAAGTATAATCAACTGCACGGGCTTTGTGAGAAAGACGGTCTAGCTATCTGTCCCGGATTCACCACTACTTATGTCATTCCCGTATGTTACCTCGACTTCATATTTTAATTCAATGCCTAGATTTGCAAGTTGAGGTGGCCATTATTTAGGTTTGGAGCAAGTTCTAAGTTTCTATTCGGAATTTTCCTTAAAATGCCTCGTTTTCTGTTAGTTTCATGAAAACTTCTCAACATTAACGTCTGATTATGTTCATTCGATGAACCTGTTTACCAGTCTGTTACTTGGTTGGCAAAGGAAGATATATCTTGTAATATGAATCTACGAAATATTAGATTTGACTAGGACGAAGCAAGCGCATTGAAGTTCAGATTATTATGTCGTTTGTTTGAACACAGTTTGTTAATGGGGAGCCGGTTTACAAAGGATGCTGCCGAACGAACATTGGTGGATTCCATGTCACCGACTATTTGAAGCAACTTCTTTCACTTAAGTATCCTCATCACATGTGAGTATAAATCCGCGGATTGTCGGAATCATTACCTGCTTGGATAGGCATTTTCTAATGTTTTTAAATGCATATAACAGGTCTAGATTTACGTGGGAAAAGGTCGAAGACTTGAAGATGGAACACTGCTATATTGCACCTGATTATGCCTTGGAAGCTCGATTGTTTCAGGTATTGGCTTACGGTTTTTTCTTCTGCTGTCTTTGTAAATGCTGAAAGGTCAAATATTGTAACAGAAAGGCGGCAAGGAAGCGGAAGACAAAACGAGGTGTTGGCAGCTCCCATGGGTTCCGCCACCAATCGAAGAACCTCCTTCGGAAGAAGAGATAGCTAGAAAAGCTGCTATAAGGGAAAGGCAAGGACAAAGATTGAGAGAAATGGCTGAAGCGAAGAGGTCGTCTAGAATAAACGAACTAGAAAATCAATCGCACGGGTTAGAATTTCTTTTGCAACAACTCGGACAAATTCAACAGGAAGAAGTTCCTTCTTTCCTTTCGGAAACCGGTTATACTTCTAAACAAGAAATAGAATCGACGCTTACGAAGGTGACACAGTCGTTAAGAAAAGCAAAAGGTGAACCAAAGCCTGAACAAGCTGAAAACGAGGAGAAGACGGATTCTTCTACGAGCGAAAAATATCCTCTTATAAACGTTCCTGATGATATGCTGACCCCCGAGCAGGTACCTAAACCGTTAACGGCAATTATCTATTATGCATTGCTTTCTTGTCACTGATGGTATTCTTTTTGCCACTGTGACAGCTCAAGGAAAAGAAGAGGCAGATATTTCTTAAAACCACAACAGAGGGCCGGCAGCGAGCTAAACAGAAACGTTTCGAAGAAGAACTAGAACGAGAAAGGAAAACCCGGCAAGATGAAGAAAGACGTTTGTATGCCTCAAACGCAGATTTTTGTCCCTACCTTTTTAACATTTAATTTTTCCGAGAAAAAAGGGAGAACCCTCGACTTAATCTGATTGCTTTATCTTTTTACAGGGAGAACCCTCGACTTTATCTCGAACAGATGCATACTAGATACAAAGAACTGCACGAGAAGGTCGAACAGCGGAAAAAACTCAAGACAAACGGAGGTTATACCAATGGGGGTAGTGTGTCCGGGGGTGTCGGGCGTGGGGAAAGACTGAATGCAGCTCAGAGGGAAAGAATGCGCCTCTTGACGACTGCAGCTTTTGACCGAGGTAAAGGTGAGGATACTTTCGGTGCCAGAGACGAAGATTGGCAACTTTACAAACTAATGGGAAAAGATGACGATGACGATGATGATGAAGCTGATGAAGATGAAGCGGAGCTGGCCCGTGTTTGTTCTAGGCTCCAGGTCAGTTTCTTTCTCTTGGCATGTCCGATCTGTTTGTGATTTTCCGAATATGGAAACTGAATCATTCGTTGCATTCTCTGTTTCTGCAGGAGATAGACCCAACATTTGTGCCTAAACCCGAACCAACACCTTCACAGCCGGCTACAGCCGAGGCACCACATGTTCGTCCACTCACCAAGGAAGACTTCCAAATTGTGCTTGGGGTCGAAAGGTTCCGATGCCCTGAAATATTATTCCACCCGAACTTGGTCGGGATAGATCAAGCGGGTCTAGATGAGATGACCAGGGTCTCAATAAGAAGGTTGCCATCCAAGGACGAGGCACTGGAGAATAGGTTGACCAGTTCTATTTTAATGACTGGTGGGTGCAGTCTCTTTCCCGGTATAAACGAACGACTGGAAGCCGGAGTCCGGATGCTTCAACCATGTGGGTCACCGATTAAGGTGGTAAGAGCATTAGATCCCATTCTCGATGCATGGCGCGGTGCTTCCGTTTTTGCTGCAAACTCGAAGTTCCAACAGCAAACATTTGGTCGGTCGGATTTTTACAAGGGTGAGGAGTGGCTTCGCCGATATCAACTGCGGTATACACTGTAAAAGTTTATTTTGAGAGAGTAGTACATGAATATCCATCAGCTTAACATTATCCATGGAAACTTTGAACTTTCAAAATGGTAATTAATCTTGGGTAAATTACATATTTGGTCAATTTGTTCATACCTCTATTTTAATCATTAAAGCTTAAAATTTTTCATTTAATCACTCAACTTTTGAATTGTTCTTTTTTGGTCTCTAATGGTGTCATTTTCTTGTTGTATGTCATGTCACAATATCAAAATAAAATCAATATAAATGTAGAATGATTAAATTAAAACAAATAAACTCCAATTATCATAATAGAAATAAGAAGAAAATCGAATGACAAAATTTATAGTTTATCCTTTTTATTACAAGTGTTCTCTGGTTTTAAATAAAAAATTAATAATAGGGTCAAATATAAAAATAGTCCCCAAACTTTTAAAGCATTTGCATTTCGGTCACTCAACTTTTGAAACTTACAATACAGTCATTGAACTTTTTGTTCGTTTTCAGTAAGGTGGTAAGAGCATTAGATCCCATTCTCGACGCATGGTGCGGTGCTTCCGTTTATGCTGCAAACTCGAAGTTCCAACAACAAACATTCGGTTGGTCGGATTTTTACGAGAAGGGCGAGGAGTGGCTTCGCCGATATCACTCAACTTTTAAATTGTTTCTGTTTTGGTCTCTAAGTCGACAATAACGACCGGCAATAGCTAGTCACAACGAGCGATGATCATAATATGAGCAGATGAAAGAAAATAAGGGGAAGAAAAAAATATGAAGGAGAAAAGAAAAAATATTTTATAAAGATCCGAAACGAAGACATTTGAAAGTAAATTTTTTTTTTTTTCAAAATTGTGTCATTTTCTTGCTGTCCCAAAACAAGATCAATTTAAGTGTAATGATTAAATTAAAACAAATAAACTTTAGCGATCAAAATAACAGTAAGAAGAAAACGAATGATAAAATTTATAATTTATCCTTTTTATTATAAGTGTTCTCTTATTTTAAATAAACAATTAATATTATTATAAACAATTTGTTTGCCATTTATTCATCCATAATCATTAAGTCTAAATCATTAAAAGATTAACCTAAATTAAATTTATAAAAACTTGTTATAAAAATTATTATTTTATTTTGATTTTTTTTTCATTCCTAACATTAAAATTTTAAATATCTGATTTAATACGAACCAAACGAACTCAATAGTTAAAAAAATAATTGTTGTTTTTAAAAGTTTCGGATCAAGTTTGAGCATCGATAAGAGTATTTATGCTCACCTAAATATGACCGTTAATTGGTAGAGCACAAGGTTCTTAACCTTGAGGTCGTGGGATCGAGTCCCACGGAGGGCATTTCATAATTCGGAGGTCTTCTACGGAAGCTGCTCTCAACCTGGTGTTGGGGGCAGCCTACTATCTTATCTCCTCCTTACCCCATTATATATGGAACAAGGAACAACCATAAATATGACCGTTAGTACTGGAATCCAGCGGATCATGTCGTTTTGAATTCATCAAAACCCAAAACGACATCCTTCATATAAAAGAAACACGTATAAGCTTCTCTTTTCCCTATCAATTTTTTTTAAAAAAAAACCCGACCGTTGTAGATCTTCCTCTTCCTCCTTTCACGCTTTATCAAAGCAGGAAAAGAATCAGCTCCTTAAACAAAACCCTAGAGGAGCCTTTGATTTTCCTGCTACAAAACCCATTTTCGACAAGCTCCCAAGCTGATCGAAGCTCGAAAGAACTCGAAAAATGGATGCTCCTCCGAGAAGAAAGAGTGGCCTGAACCTCCCTGCTGGGATGAACGAAACTTCACTACGGCTGGAAACTTCTGCTTCTTCTTCTCCTACTTCTTCCTTTCGTTCGATCTCGATATCTTCGCCACGGATGATATCGAGTCTGACTTCACCGTCGCCGTCGTCGAAATCGTCGATTTGTAGCGATAGGTTTATTCCTTGTAGATCCTCTTCGAGGCTACACATGTTTGGGTTGATGGACAAGGAGTCGCCTGCTAAAGAAGGAGGGAATGAAGCTTATTCCAGGATTTTGAGATCCGAACTTTTCGGCCCTGATTTCGGTTCTTTTTCTCCTGCAGGTCAAGGTTCGCCGATGAGTCCGAACCGGAACTTGTTGCGGTTCAAGGCTGAGAATTCGACGCCGAGCTCCCCGTATTCTCCTTCGCTTCTGGGGCAGGACAGTGGGTTCTCCAGTGAAACATCTACACCTCCCAAGCCCCCTAGGAAAGTCCCCAAGACACCCCATAAGGTATGCTAGTCCGACTCGAACCCGATTTTTTAGAATTCGATAATATCGACTGAAATGTCGAAGGAATGCAGGTCCTCGACGCCCCGTCGCTTCAAGATGACTTCTATCTGAACCTTGTCGATTGGTCGTCTCAGAATGTGCTTGCAGTTGGGTTGGGAACTTGTGTTTATTTGTGGACTGCATCAAATAGCAGAGTAACCAAGTTGTGTGATTTAGGACCAAATGATAGTGTGTGTGCCGTTCAATGGACCCGGGAAGGTTCTTACATATCGATCGGTACGAATCTCGGTCAAGTTCAGGTAACTGTTGATTTTCGTATTGGACTCGTCATCCGAGTGGGTAAATACAGGGGCATTTAAACGTTTCTGTTGTTATATACATAGGTTTGGGATGGAACGCAGTGCAAGAGGGTCAGAACGATGGGCGGACATCAAACGAGAACCGGTGTCCTGGCTTGGAATTCACGGACACTATCATCCGGAAGCAGGGATCGCAACATTCTTCAGCATGATCTTCGAATTCCGAGTGACTATGTCGGCAAGCTTGTTGGACACAAATCTGAGGTCTGTGGATTGAAATGGTCACACGACGATCGTGAACTTGCATCCGGTGGGAACGATAATCAGGTAACCATGAATTCGTTTCTCTTCGATTTTTTCATCCCGGAAACATAGCAAACTGCTAACTCGAACAGCTTCGCCGGTGCAGCTTTTGGTCTGGAACCAGCATTCGCAGCAGCCAGTTCTTAAACTGACCGAACACACAGCTGCTGTCAAAGCCATTGCTTGGTCACCCCATCAAAGCAACCTTCTCGCATCGGGCGGCGGAACAGCGGATCGATGTATCCGGTTTTGGAACACGACCAATGGTCATCAATTGAACCACATAGACACGGGGAGCCAAGTATGCAATCTATCATGGAGCAAGAATGTGAATGAATTGGTTAGCACACATGGATATTCTCAGAACCAAATCATGGTGTGGAAGTATCCTTCAATGGCAAAGGTCGCGACACTAACCGGACATAGTCTTCGAGTCCTCTATCTAGCTATGTCGCCCGACGGACAGGTAATGTTCACCCCCAATGATTATCGAATCAAACTCTCATATATCAAAAAGGATCCATCGGGTTAAAGAAGAACCGTATTTCACCTTTGCAGACCACAGTGAGCGGTGCAGGGGACGAGACCTTGAGGTTTTGGAACATCTTCCCCTCTGTGAAATCACAAGTAAGAATCACTAAATACAATGATTCTTAAGCTCTTTTGTTTTGTTCTTTAAGCTTCCATTCTTAACAATATTTAACTCTGTTTTGTTTGTCCGTTTTCAGACACCAGTTAAAGACACAGGACTCATGTCTTTAGGACGAACCTACATACGATGACTTGATGACTCGATGAGACTCGAATTTCGTATATTTCATTGTAAATGAACACTTCTGCAGAAGATTTTTTCATTATTTTGCAAATATACTATGGAAACTTGTTAAAAAATTAGCCCCTGTAAATCGGCACAATCCCTTATAGAGGGGACTAAATGGATCAATTTATAATACCATTCTTTGTAAACAATATCAATTTCCAGTCCATTAAATCGTAACTACCGATCGCTGCCATCCGAATGCAAAGAGGCAGGAACCCAAGTCGAGAGTGCATAAACGGTTCGACCCTTCCATCCTTGAATCAACCAGCGGTTATCCTCGTCGATTACAAAGTCCTTGTGGTAGTATGTATCCACCCTCTCCTTTGCTGTCTTCATGATCTCTTCATTCAATGGCAACTGCCTGAGACCGGCCCTTGTATTCCTCATCTGCCACAGCTTGTAAGTCTCGGGCCTCTCGATCCTTTCGGCTCCCTCGCATGCGATGACATTCATTGCCTCCCACCCGAATATCTCTCTCTCGATCAGCATCCTTTCCGGAATTTCGGGAGGCACGTTAGTTTCGAGCATATCGAATAAAGTAGAATAGTGGAAGAGAGCCTCCCTGAATCTCGTGATAAAGAACGGAGCGGTGTAGGCACCATTCACAACTCCCAGTATGAAAACATCAGGATTCATCTTCCTGATCAAGTTGAGAACTTTATTCCTCGGACTCTCGACAACCACAGTCTCATCGAGTACATTTCTAAGCCTGTACATGCAGTTTACGACAACCACCTCATCACGGTCAATACCGAGGTTCTCGATTTGAACGGTGTCCCATTTCTGTGCAATAGCATGGAACTCGAATGGAACTTTGAAAGTCTTTGCGTAGTTTGCAAGACGGCGCCCCGTCTCTGCAACCCTTTCTGCCGGGCGGAAGCCCGGTTGTGGAAAATCAATCCCTGTAATCCTTAGCTTAGGCGGTCCTCCAGGTCTAGATGAGAGACGTCGTATAAGGCAAGGCCATTGGAAGCCATATAGAATGCCAAAATCAATAATATGAAGCCTAGCTGCAGATTCTGCTAGATTCATTATCGTTTTATTCGAGAAGAAATTAGAAAGCTTTCTAAAAGGACAGGCAGCAAGAAACAGATGGTAAGCTTTCAAAACATCAGCAGCCGAAGTCGGCTTCGTGATAAGGGCAGTGTAAATCCGTGTTCCAGAACCAGCTAACCGTGCCTCAAGGCCATCGACGAAATAGTGAGCCACCCTCTGCATCCCATCACCCATAGGTGAAGAATGCTGCCTGATTTGCTTCATCAGCTCATTTGCATTCCTCCGATCATCAGTTGCAACGGCTTGTGCACAGAGGGTTAAAAGAGTTCTTAGATCCACCATGGTCCTTTTACCTCTGTGTTTCTTCCCACGACCCTTTCCACTGTTAGAACCTTTCGCTAGTCCGTTCTGCTGCGCATTCTTGCTCGTTTCATCTTGCAAAACTTTTTGAAGATCGGTTACGCTTTCACAATTTAGTAGCACGTTATCGAACATTTCCGGGCTTACAGATGATTCAGTACACACTAAAGACTGCTTGTAACTCCTGCCACTCTGCAAACTTGAATCCTCCGAATAAGGGTTCTTCTTTCCCCTCGATCCATCCCGAGAGATCTCAATCTTCTCCACCTTCTCTACAACATCTTTAGCCTCTTCCTTCAGCTCTTTGGGTAACAATCTGTCGTTCTCAATGCGAACAAACAGGCTCCCACCATTCGGAAGGAACTTGCTTGCTTCCTCAAACCCCTTTCTAAATTGTATGGCCGACTCACTATCGCTAAATATTTCCGGAATCCTTAAAGTACTCACCAGAGAATCGGCAATGCCATCTACCACACTACCAGTATTATTCGCTGAACTATGAGTTGAACTGGCCTGGGATGAGATGTTTAAAGACCTTTGCTCACCGAAATCATGGTTGTGCCCGGGATTGACTACATTGCTGCTACTAAAACCACTAATGCTTGCACTACTACAACTTGAGCAACTTTGATCATGACTTCCATCGGAGCCTTCTCGGTTTTGATCAGCAAAACGCTTCAATTTGTATCCAGCAGAAGGCGGATACGTTTCCCCGAGAACCTCGTAAAACGACTTCTCGGCAGCCTGAAGTGCTGCTGAGGACTCTTTAAACATACATGTCTTATCCCCCATATCTTCTTCCATTAGCATCTGATTAATGTACTTCAGAACCTCGTCGCTAAAGTCGTAATCCTCCTGCGAATCTCCCTCCTCGATCCCACTCGAGGAAGGCACAACATTTCCCAGGGTCGGAACAGGTTCCATAGGAGAGACATCAACACCGTTTCCATTCTTCAACCGGTTATCGAAATCCTGAACTGGTAAGGCCAACACCGAACGGTCATTTAGTCCGACTCGGCCGACCGGACCGACGAAACTATAAACTCCCTTCAACCATCCATCCATAACAATCAAAATCCAAAATTCTGAACTTCTAAAGGCTCTTAGCTTTCAAACACTTCACTAAACAAACCTAAGGGGGAAAAACATAAATTCCAACATTAAAACCAAATGTTTATTTCATTCTCAAAATTCCCCAAAAACATCAAAATAAGACAGCATCAATCATAGGAAAATCTGGGTTTGAAATGGAACTAAAGAAGATAACATCTTTCAAGAGAAATGAAACCAGACATGAACATGCCTATACATATACATATATATAAATGAACTATGAAAAAAACATGATTCTTTGATGTCTTTAAGAAACAACCTTGAAAACCAACCAGAATGCTATGAAACTTGCTGTAAGATAATGGAAGGGAGAAGATGAAGTACCTGAGCTGAGTCAGAGAGAGAAAAATGATTTCTGTTTTGTTTCGGAACAAAAGAAGTGAAGCGTTAAATAGGACGACAGTGAATCAATGATGATTATTCCAGAAAGATTGAAGGTGACATTGATTGGTTAATCTCAGCCGTCGATTCATTTAATTTATTTCCCTCTACTAATTTCTTCCATTTGAAGGGGAAAAAAGCTTCTATCTTTCGCCTTGGAAATTTTCTAGAAATTGAAATTCATATTGGGAAATTCCTCAAAGAATGAATAATTCATTTAGGAAACAAATTTATTGAGAATATTTGTATTTAATTGTGCATTGGTGGGTTAATGCGTCCATATTTTTTTACCATCCGTATATAGGGATAGGCATGGAACCTAAACCTGATAGATTCCTACCCAATCGGATCCGATCGGGTTAATTTTTAAAAAATAATTTCGGGTTCAAGTTGGATTGTTTTTTTTTAGAAATGTGATATTCGGGTTGTGTCGGGGTCAGGTTTAAGGTGAAAATATTCAATCCGATCCAACCCGGAAAAAATATAATTTTACTTTAAATATTTAAAAATAATTACAATATTATCTCTCTATATATATTATTTTTTTCTAATTAAGTCACTATTTTTATTGAATAAAATAATTTTTATTATTTCAGGTCGGGTTGGGTGAAAACTTATTTTGGTCGGGTCTCGGGTGGAGAACTCCTTGTTCTCGAGTCGGGTCGGGTGGACCAAAAATCTGACCCAACCTGACCCATGCCCATCTCTATCTATATTTGATCTATTAATTAATTATTTTAAATAGAATATTTTAAATGTTCGTTACGAAGACGACTCTCCCAACTTATAATGTGTCCATAATTGTTAGTGAGTTTTATGTAGTTTTATCGCTATAAGGGAATCCATCAAGTGGTCTCAATAACAAAAGGAAAGTTATTTTTCTTATAGTTTTAGGTTCGGGTAGCTGCGTTTGTAGGGTGTGTGTGCCTTGTTAATATATTAAAAAAAGTTCTAAATAGATACTACTCTTGTAATCACCCATACTATTAAAAAAATTATAAGGGATTATTTTGTATCTATTTAAGAAGTTTAAAGATATTTTGTAATATACATTAAAATATATTTGATTAACCACCGAAGATAAGTTTAAATGATAAGCAGTTTGATATTATTTAAGCATGTCTCGAGTTTGAGGTCTTATATATGCAAAAAATCTTTATTGGGAGACTCATCTACCAAAATCAGATGTGTGGCACGAATCAATTTGAATTAGTCAGAACAAAATCCTGAAAAACTGAGAAGCCAACTAAAAAATATCTTTGATCTAAAAATTATTTTTATATAATTTAATGACCTAAATAGTAAATGAGTAGAAATTGTGATTTTTTATTTAAAAAATGATTTTCCTTAGAAAGTGGTAATAGGTGAAACAATTGGTTCTAAAATGCCAATCATAGCTTAGTTTGATCAAAGAATTTCAAAATTCCAAAATTAGTTTATTAATTACAAAATTAAAAATAATAATTATTGAAGTTTCATATTTGGTTAAATGAGTTATAACTAAATAGATGTGCCATTATTTTTTATATTCTTAAGGGTAAAGTACACAAATGGTCTCTCGGTTATAAAATATTATTTTATTGAGTTTCTCGATTATTAAAAGTTATAAAATGAATCTATAATAATAGGACGTTGCTTAATTGAATCCATCGACTATAAAAGTTACAAAACAGTATTTGACTATTCATATGTTTCAAATTCGTCCTTTTGCGTTAAAAAATTGGCGATAGTCTAAGCTAGACGTTAACATGTTGACTGAGATATGATAGTCGAATCATATTTTGTCATACCTCATTCGGTAGGTTAACATCCAGCTCAGACTGCCTTCAATTTTTTAACAGAAAAAGATGAATTTGAAACATATGAATAGTCGGGTGATCAGTTTGTAACTTTTAATAATCGAAAGACTCAATAAAGAAACACCCTATAATAAGGGCACCATTTTATAACTTTTAGTAATCGGGATTCGATAAAACAATGTTCTATAATTAGAAGGCCATTTATATATTTTAACATAATATATAAGATAAAAGTATCATGATAATATTTAATATACGTAACGGCTATGTCGACAATTTTTTTAATAATGTGAATGAAAAAAAAAAGAATTCGTAAAAAAATTAAATTTTATTATCCGATAATAAATAACACATATTACCAAAATTCATACACATAATAATTTCTAATTTAATTTTAATAATAATCAACGTTATTTTATGTTCGAATTTTAATTATGTAAGTAAAATAAATTAGATTAGAAAGAATATACTTATAATAAATTTTTACAATATTCGATTCGATAGTGATTATAATGTCCCCCTAAAAATTGAGAACCAAATAGCTAAAAAAATAGTGTAAAGTACACAAATGACCAGCAAATTATACTCGAATTATCTTTCTAATCACTAAAATTTTAAAGGTTATAAAATGCTCACTATACCTAATCAAATTATTACAAAATGCTTATTAAAGCTATTAAATTGATATAAATAGTCCATAAATTTTATCTAAATTTATTATTATTTTGTAACAAAATAAATATTTTATCTAAATTCATAATTCTGACTGCCGGAGGTCTTCACAGAAGTTGCTCTCAACCTGACGTTGGGAGCATCCTGCTACCTTACCTACCACTTATCCCATTACATATGAAGAAAAAAAAATATTATTGGTCCAAAACTTTAGTAAAATGAGGACCACATTTTACTTTATTTTCAGCCTTATTTTGTGGACTAAATCGGACAACATGGGCCCACATTGGGCCACATTTCGATTTGTTATCACCAATTTTCGGATTAACATTTTCATTAATTGCTGATAAGATAGGAATAATTACACGTTTATTAAATTTTGTAAACCCTTGTTTCATAGTTATCACGATTATAGGATAAGAGGAGAGTTTATTGAATAAACTTTTAATTGATGTGATGGGGGTGGGATATTAAATTTTCGAGTAAAGTACATAAATGGTCATCTGATTATAAGATATTATTTTATTAAGTTACTCAAATTATTAAAAGTTACAAAATGATCCTTCAACTATAGGTAGTTGCTTTGTTGAGTCCCTTAACTACTTGAAATTAAAAAATGGTCACACGACTATTTATTATGTTACAAACTCGTATTTCTTGTTAAAAATTTGATGACAGTTTGAGTTGTACGTTAATTTGCTAACTAGATATAATAAAATATGATCTCATAATCTCAAACGATTATAATATCTCAGTCAGCATGTTAACGCCCAACTCAGATGTCCATAAATTTTTTAATGAAAAATGATGAGTTTGGAACATAATGAATTGTCGGGAGACCATTTTGTAACTTTTAATAGTCGAGTGAGTCAACGAAGCAACTCCCTATAGTTGAGGGACCATTTTATAACTTTTAATAGTTAAAGGACTCAATAAAGCAATATCATATAGTTAGGGGGGCTATTTGTATATTTTACACTAAATTTTTTAGGATGAGATTTTTTGGGGTAAACTACGCATTTAGTACATAAACTATCAATTTTGATCCATTTTAGTATCTAAACTTTCATTTTTTTCAAAATCATACCTAACATTTAGTCTTTCTTTTGTTTTAGTATCCGTCGTTAAAAATTTAACGAACGGGCTCGTCGGTCGGTACGTCTATAGTCGTTGACCGTCGCATCCGTCAATCAATGAAGCCTAAACTTTCTAGCCCTTACCTTTTCGACATCTTAAACGCGATTCTAGCCTCTGTTTCATCGAGAAACACCTCAATCTTCCCCAAATTGGTGATGTATTTTTCGATTTCTTCATCCTCTAATCTCCATGGCCCACCGTTCTATGGGCCTGAAACTAAACTATGTTGGCCATCTCGTTATTCTCTCATGGTCCACTGTTCGGAATGGTCGTCTGTCCACTGGAGCTATGCGCCGCAGCCCGTCCACTAAATTTTTAATGGCGGGTACTAAAATGAAACAAAAACTAAACTTTATGTATGATTTTAAAAAAGGTAAAAGTTTAAGTACTAAAACATACCAAAACTAATAGTTTAGTTACTAAACTTGTAGTTTACCTATTTTTTTAAAATTATATTTATAGTTTAAATATGATGTTATGAATTAGTTTTTTTTGTAGGGATAGATGGAATAGGGGTTGATATAGTGAGGAAAAGACGTATGATTTTATGTTAATTGGTGCAGTTATAAAATTTTAAAGTGGATTGAACTTATAAATTTTTAGTGGGGAAGAAAACATATTTTTGATAAAAATACAAAGAAACTATCTAAAACATATAAAAATTTAAATTGTAGGGCGCAACCGTCCCCTCTAGGTTCATCCCTGGTGGGTCTGAAGGTTTCAATTTTTTATATAATTTAGATATTTTCTTTGTATTTCCTATTAATGGTCTATTTTCGTCCCTAAACTTGCTCTCACAATATAAAATGTTATGTCTATTCTCGAACTCTCTTAATAATAATATTTTATATACTTGATTTAAATTAATCATTTAATGAATCGGATACCGATAATTATACTAAAAGAATTTGAAGAGTGTAGAAATATCATGCTTACGTGGAAAGAGACCTATATGTCCATCATATGCAATTTAGGTCCTTGTCATTGTTCGTGAAGCTTTCAAGAATATACCCAATTTGATCCATTGTACATGCATTTTGCTTTTTTGTATGTGAAAAGAATCTATCAAATGTAGCTAGACGTCAATAATTTTTTATTTGGAGGTCAATTAAATCATATATTGTTAAGTTTTAATTTTAGAGTAAATTACACAAACGGTCCCTCAACTATAGGGTACTACTTTGTTGAGTCCTCTAACTATTAAAAGTTACAAAATGATCTCCCAACTATAGGATGTTACTTTATTGAGTCCCTCGACTATTAGAAGTTATAAAATGGTCATCTGACTATTCATATGTTCCAAACTCATCATTTTTAGTTAAAAATTGATGACAGCTTGAGATGGACGTTAACTTATTAATTGAGATATGATAACCATTTGAGATATTGAGATCAGATTTTGTCATATCACAGCCAGCATGTTAACTCCCAACTCAAATTATCGTCAAATTTTTAATAGGAAAAGGACGAGTTTGGAACACATGAATAGTCGGGTGATCATTTTCTAATTTTTAACAGTCGAAGGACTGAACAAAGTATCATCCTATAGTTTGGGGACCACATGCTTTATAAAGTTACAAACGTTTAAGAAACCAAAATAACTTACATTTTTAAGATTACTTTATTTATTAAGAATAATTTTGCATTAAATATCATAATTTATGATTTTCAGCACCTAAATTGAAGATTACGTTAGAGGTTTGAACTTTTTTTCAATATAAAAATTCTCGGTCTTAATATAATATAAACTAGGATAAATCACACATTTAGTACCTAAACTATTAGTTTTATTTTGCTTTAATACCTAAATTTTTATTTATTTCAAAATCATACTTAACGTTTATTTTTTATTTTGTTTTGGTACCCTTAAAAGCTTAATAGAATTGTTGTTCGTGGTACTTTTTTATGGGTAAATTGTATCATTCACCACTCAATTATCTTCTCACTCCTATTTTAGTCACTAAAGTTTAAATTAAATCGCTCCTAATTAAATATTAATAAAATAATAATTGAAAATATCATATCAAAAAAATTATTATTAGAGTGATTAAAACAATAGCAGTTTCATAGTTGAGTAGTTAAATTAAAAATTCTTCAATTTTAATGACCAAAATAGGAGTAAGAAGATAGTTCAGCGATGAATAATGAAATTAACCGTAAAAATACAATGCCATTGAATTTTTAACGGTGGTGTAATGAAATAAAGAATAAAAATTATATACGATTTTGAAAAAAAAAATAAAAATTTACATATTAAAACGAAATAATAGTTTAAGTATTAGACGTGTAATTTACCTTATAAAATAAGATGTACGTATAAAAGAAATTACATAAAGTTGAGGGGTCGCATACTCGAAATATAATTTTTAATTTATGCCGTTTTATATTTATTGAAAATTCTTTTGTAAATGTTATACATTTTGTAGTGCCAAATAATCTTTACTCTTAGTATAATGATAATACACTATATATGTTATTATTGTACTTTTTCATACATCAGATTTTTGGACAACACTTTCGCAATTCAAATTAGGGTAAATTACGTATTTAGTATTTAAATTATTAATTTTGGTCCATTTTAATATCTAAATATTTATTTTTTTCAAAACCATACCTAATGTTTAATCTTCATTTCATTTTAGTACCCTACCGTTAAAAATTTAACACGTTTAGTACCTGAACTATCAATTTTGATCTACCTACAATTTCAATTTTTTCAAAAATTAACGTTAAATTTTGAACAATATACTAAAATGAAACAAAAACTATACTATAGGTATGGTTTTAAAAAAAATTGAAAGTTTAGATATTAAAACATACCAAAACTAATAGTTTAGGCACTAAACGTGTAATTTACTCTTAAAATTATGGAAGAATATTCTGGAACATAAGATCTAAAAAAAAATTCTCTATTTTTCGATAATCATCGACTTCTTGACATGATTTTTGGAGAATCAAAATCAATCGACAACCGATCGTATTTATTAAATCTATCAACTTAAGAGTAACCATTATGACCTTACGTCTAACATCAATACTAAAGATTATTATAAAATTTATTATAAAGTCTTTCGGTCAAGATTGGGAGAAGGATTCAGAACCGATCATTTCTATTAGTTCCTTTTCTCGTTCCTTGTGCAAATTGAGGAATTTAACATGGTATAATTCGTCTAAATCAAAAGAGATAAACAATCAACAATCATTAATTTTCCGTCTAAATCATAAAAGATAAAACCATCAACAATCATCAATTCTCAATCGTCGTCTTATCACGATTATAATTCTTCGTCTAAATTAGAAGAGATAAACCATTAACAATCATCAATTCTCCATCTAAATCATAAGAGATAAACCACCAACAATCATCAATTCTCAATCGTCGTCTTATCACGATTATACATCTTCGTCTAAATCATAAGAGATAAACCATCAACAATCATCAATTCTCCATCTAAATCATAAGAGATAAACCACCAACAATCATCAATTCTCAATCGTCGTCTTATCACGATTAGACATCTTCGTCTAAATCATAAGAGATAAATCATCAACAATCATCAATTCTCCGTCTAAATCATAAGAGATAAACCATCAACAATCATCAATTCTCAATTGAATCTGGTTAGAGCAGATCTTATTTTCGTCGAATTTTTCATTTACAGAACTATCAATTGGCTTCAATGGTTTTTGGAAGCTGGGAAATGAATCAAGTAATGTGTGAGGAAATAATACAGGACAATGTGAAACAAATTTGTACATGGTTTCTTTCTCTCTCCCTTCCTGTTCTTGGTCATGTTTTACCTTTTCTTTACATCGGAATGGTCGGAACTGTAGTTGCAACTCCGTTCCCGCCGGATTCCGTGTCTGTGATCCTCAAAGTCCCGGGTTGATGCTTGCCTTGTGGTTTAGCTTGATGCTGAGACCAGTGTGCATGTGCAGCCAAGACCCTGTCCAAGAGTTCCTGCGGTACCGGCTCCCCTCGTCGCTGCTGCGGGGAGATTTTCGCAGTGTGAACCAATGTTTTCCATTTATCCTGCAGGCGATACCGACGTGTTATTGTCACCGTTCAATACGAAAGGCACCGGCAAGATATACCCACCGCGTAAGACTTGTTACATCGATACATCCCAGAAACCAGATTACTTTCTCGAACTAATAATGCTTGTTGTTCCAGATAGCAACAAATCGAGAAGTGCAATACCTTCAAATCCACGTAAGTTCGATGATCGGCATTCTCGAAAGCTCGCAATTTAATATCGCGCCACCTGCAGAAAACCCTAAGAATTTAGTTTTATAAACTCAACTCAACATCTTTATAAGCATGCATTCTCTTCAAGTATGTGAATATAACAGTAACACACCTTCCAGTACCAAGCTCCTCAACTGCCTGTACCAGTGCTTCTACTTCTAAGACTGAAAACGGCCTCCTAGTTCGACGCTGTGCAAGCTCGGGTTTTCGAGCTTTTGGGCTGGCAGGGATGACGGACAGTGCCTCGACGTTCATTGCTGGAACAGGAACTAGAGCTCTTGACTCCGACAGACATTTATCAGTTGGAACGTCAGTTTGGGAGGAAACCGGTTCGTGATTAGTATCCACAGGATGTGCTGAATTGCTCCGTAAAAGCGGGTCAAATGTGGGATCGGGAATCCCTGTATCTACAACCGGAGTGGCTGGAAATCTGGATACCAGATGCTTGTTACTCAAACTATCAAAGGTAAAGGTAAATCACAGAGTATATAAATGAAATAAAATCACAACATTCTATATTGAAACATCAAAATCACCTTGTTAAAGTTTCGGGGACTTTATCACATGATCTTGGAAGGGGTGGTTCTTCCGAGCACACAGGCGGAGGAACTTTTGTAGGACCAGGCTCCAAAGTGAAACCAAGAGAATCCAGAATATCCTCACAGGAAATACCAGTCTGCGATAGAGTTCGGTTATCATCTCTCAGTTTCTTTCCTTGAAGAAGTACCCCGACACGGATTCCACCGCCAAGTAAGGCAGTCACCGCCTCCAAAACAGTCCTCTGCTCATATTTAAGTAACATCGGTGGTAAAAAGTGTTAGAAACTACACGTTAATTAAATAAAACTATGTTCATTGATGAAAAAATAACACAGCACTTCCATACCTTCAGTGAACCGACTGTTGTACCTTCTGGAACGTCGATATAAAGTTCCGGAATTCTAAACGACTTAATGCTGAATTTCACTGTATGAGAACACAACACGCAAATAAGACATTCCCCAAAACAACAGTAAAAACGTCAACGAATAACACACAACAGTCTGTAAAAAATTATTCGTACCGTGAGAATCCTTGGACCGGTGGGATACTTTGTTACCTGTAATCAAGGGGGGCATACCACATGCTACGGAGAAGAATGAAGTAGTTTAGCAAGACTAATTAAATCTCGATCTTGAAATACGTAAACTATAAAATACGAATAAAGTAAATGAAGAGGGGAAGCACCTCCATGTGACATCGAAGCAAAACTACCCTTGTCTCCATCCACAACCTTCTCTGGTGAATTACAAACACTTTCACTACTTATCACACCATCAGAAGTTACTATCGAGCTACGGTCAAAGAGCTTTCTCCTCTTGTGGGGCATGTCGTATTGATATCTGTCGTAATTATAGTAGGTCTTTCGCTTATGATACACAGGCTTCATTCCTCTGTCTAGGAAAGCACGAAACACGAAATCCATAAAGAAATGTTTATGAAGTTCGAAGTAAGATGTAAACCATGCAATGAACACTACTCACCAGCTTTGCAATGATCAAAATCCTTCAACTTAGGACCAACTTTCCAATACTTGGATGTCAGCAACTTCCTTATCCCTCGATCTCCGATACGCGACGGAGGCCTCGAAGACTTAAATCTATAGCTATGTCTATTAAATCTAGAAAAGTTTTCGTCATCATCTTTACTACCTAGCTTAATATCATTCCTATGTCTTGAAAAAGAAGCAATAGGAATGCGGTCCTTGCGGGACGCTCGTTTAGAATTAACGGGTTCAATTGGATCTTTCTTGGGGCAAGTATTAGCAATACTCGACTTCCCGATGTCCAAACCGTTACCATCTCTCTCTCGCGTAAACCCATTCCCACTTTTACCATCACATAAATCCCCGAGATCAGGGGAGCATGGATCCCTGTCACCATGAAAATTTCCATAGGCTGCATTACCGCTGCGAATTATATTCACATCACCACTTTTTTGCTCCGAGCAAGCAGGTTGTGTCTTAATCAAACCACGATCCGAAATGGCATCATTTCCAGAAGGTTTAAATCCCTTCACATTGTCACTGATTTCGGTAGTCGACTCAGACACTTCACAGCTTCCTTGCTCAACACTTTCTGTTTTCAACGACTTATCATCGTCGGAATGAATTTCCTGTTTAACAACATCTTTACCTATAGAAACACGATGTCCTTCCGAGGTATTGCTGGAAGCCGAACTCTCGCTCTCCTGCAACAACTTCCCGGCTAAAGAAGCTAACAATTCGAATGCACAAATCTGACTGTCGTCGACGTCCTGCCTACTCCGATACCTCCTCTGCAACCAACACAACAATCATCGACGTATTCATCAAGTTTGATCAAAATTCAACATGATCAAACCTAACAAATGACCGGAAAATAACTAAACATACCCGATTCGATCGAGGGGCACGGGGCACGATAGAGACATCGAAGGTATCAAATCCATAATCTAATCTCTTCTTAAACACCATATCTCAGGCTAACAGTCGTTTATAGCTACGAATTCACTGCATATAAACAAATCAAACAATATATCAGAATAATTTCAAAGATAAAACCAAAACAAAACCTTATAATTAGAAAATAAACCCAGAAAATTACAGATCCAAAATCCCAAAATACTAGATCAAGAGAAGAAGAAGAATATAGTTGCGTTACTTCGATCAAAAAGATAATTACATTTCCACAGTGAAATTTAAATTTGATTGGAAATCTCGAAGTCAAACAAGAATCTAAACCATTAAACAAAAGAGGGTTCGAATTTATTCTTCTTTTTTTCTTCATTTCCTTAAATAAAAAGTATAAACTAAAATCAAAATCCCATAAACCTCCAAATTCACCAGAAATTCTAAAATTTTCCGTCAAAATTTCCGAAACAAAATGAGAAAAGAAAAACCCAGATCAGATCTCGATATAAACCACAGCTATAATCGAAATTCACTTGTTCAAAAATCATTACGCCTCGTAATTCAGCACAATTCAACACACAAAAAAGAACATAAAAAAATGAAAAGAAATCCAACAATTCAAGTACAAAAACAGCCAGAAATTCATGATGCAATAAGCAAACAACTCACCTTTTAAGCTGAAACGATCTTCAGAATCTTAAAAACAAAATATATATTCAAATGTACAGAAAACAACTGAAGAAATGAAGATTCTGCTGAGAAAATTCCTTGAGGAACAATGATCGGAGAAATCAAACAAATCCAACTGAAATTCAAATAAAATTCAATGATAAAAAGGATCAAATTTTCCTTCTTTTTTCAAGTTTACTTTTTCTTGTGGAAGAACAAATATTTATACAAAAACAGAGAAATCACCATGAAATAAACTCTACATATAAAAGTTCAATAAAGAGAGAGAGAGAGAGCTTAAACCCCGAAATATGATAACTATGGGTAAAGTACATTGTATGACATCAAACTATTATTAAATAATTATTTGGAGTCCCTAAACTTTCAAAAATGCTAAATAATTATAAAAAAAATTAAACTATTAAAAAGTGATCACTAAAACATTCTAATAAATATAAAATTTTGATAAATTTAATGATTAATTACGTAAACTTTAGACACAATTTAATGATAATTTTATATATTTCTATAAATTAAACGACTGTTTGATAATAGTTTGATAAAAGTAATGACAATTGTGTAATTTTTAAAAGTGTAATGATCAAAATGGTCATTTGAGCATAGTTTAGTGACTTTTCGTATACTTTATCCGATAATTATTGACCACAAAACCGGACTGGCCAGTGGATTCGAGGGGTTTACCGGTAATAGAAGGTAATTAAATCATCTCGCTTTGAGTTGTCCTTAACCCCTTCTATGTTTCTAAAAAGAACAAATAAGAGATGCCACGTGGAAGTAAACTGTGATTCTTAGATTTATTTTTTATTTTATCAATATTTATTGGGATAAGAAAAAATATTATTTTTTATTGGTATTTGTTTTGGAGCAGGTGTTTTCATTTTTTGTTTTATGTACTCGCTTCTCATTGGTTGTTTTTAGGTATAGGTATGGGACCGAACCCGACAGGTTTTGATCCGATTAGGTTAGGATGTGTCTTTTAAAGGTGATGTTCAGATCGTATCAGATTCGATTTTAGGGTAAAAAATATCCGACCCGACCTGACCCGAAAAATATAATTTTAACTTATATATTTAGAAATAATTATAATAATACTACTCTATATAATTTTTTTTCAATTAAATCACTATTTTTATTGAAAAATAATAATATTTTTTATTATTTCAGGTCGGATCGTATCATGTTCGAATTTTATCTCAAAAAATCGAGTCAGGTGGAAGATATATATTTTTCGAGTCTGATCGGGTTGACCAAAACCCGACCCATGCTCATCCTTAGTTGTTTTAGCCTCATTAACTTTTTTTTTTTAGTTTTAACACAAATTTTCTTGTCTTTAACTATAATAAATCAAAATACATAAACGGTCTCTGAATATAAGGTGTTACTTTGTTTAATCATCTAACTATTAAAAGTTACAAAATAATTTCATAACTATAGGACGTTGCTTTGTTGATTCCTCCGACTATCAAAAGTTATAAAATGGTCATCCGACTATTCATATGTTCCAAACTTTTCATTTTTCGTTAAAAATTATTGACCGTCAGAGATAGACATTAACCTGTTAACTAGGATATGATAAAATCTATGTTTACATTATATCGTCGAGTTAATACTTAAAATATTTTGCTGACAAGCTAATGGTTGAAAACAACGACAGTGTGAGTAGAAAATTTATTTGGTTACTTATTCATAAGATTAGACAACTTTATTATTTGTGATGAAACTATTAAAAGAGTATTTCAAATTAATTTAATATTTAAAAGGTGTGACACATGTTTAAATACTTTAATATCCCATGTACTTTATTTATAAATGGTACTTTAACTATAGGGCTCTATTTTATAAAATAGTCATCGACTATTTATATATTATAAACTTGGTATTTTTTGTTAAAAATTAGCGATCATATAAGTTGAACATTAAATTGTTGACTCAGATATTTCAATAATGTCTATTGGTACTTTATTTATAAATGGTACTTTACCCTATTTTTTAACATATTTTCTAGATATCTAATTCACAATGTAAATGTGTTTGAGATAATATAAATTTGATTCGATTTTGAGAATTTTTTTCATACACAAGTCTAGCTCACAAACTTATGGCAACGAAGTTGCCATAAGTTACTAAACAAACTCACTCGAGTTTGGTTCAATAATTGTTGAAACTGTTTTTAGGTTAAAAATAATAACTCCCTTGAAAATCATGTACGTTTTGAAAAAATAGAATCATCGTCGATCGTTTCATGATCAAATACTCATAAAATCATTCTTTTAAAATATTTAAAGGTTCTCTTTAAAAAAAAGATAATTTTAGAAGTGTCCGTTTAAAATCGGATAAAAAATTGAGTTTAGAAGTCGATTATACGTGTCGCACCCCATCGCACCCAAAGAAACGATACCTTTAAAAACTATATGTGTTCTCACTTTTTAAAATAAACACAAAAATGTGTTAGTAGTAATAATAATACGTTATTAAAAATAACAAATAAATTATTAACATGTTGGACTGGATTGAAAAATAATAAATAAAATGGAAAACTGATAAAATCATGTGAAAATGATTAAATTGCATTAATAAAAACAGTTGAAGGACCAAAATGTAAATATCCCCTTAAGATTAAAATTATGTGGATCTAGATTAGATGTGTGGACCGATTTAAGGGGCTGTTTGTTTACTTCATAATGATTAAGCGCTGAATGATTCAATGGCCTGAATGATTCAGATGCTCTGTATGAATTAGCTTTGAATGTGACATGTTGTTTGATAATGGCTCTGAATCATTTAAAATGTACTTTGATGCTGAATCATTCAACACTGTTTTGCTGAATCATTCAACACAGTCTTCATTCAGAGGTTAGAAACAAACACGTTGAATGCTGAATGATTTCATTCGGAGCCAAACAAACAGCCCCTAAGTCAATTTCCCTAAATAGCATCGTTGTTAGAGTCGAAATAGTCCTCCCAAAATGATGTCATTTTGGGTCCATAAATTCTCCAAAATTTCTTCATTCTTAAATTTTCTTCTCATCATTTCCTCACCTCTTTTCTTTTTTTAGGGTTCTCCAAAAATCCTTAGATTTGTGTAAATCATGTTAGAATGATCGGTCGAACTTGTGATGCAACATAAAAAAATAATATTATGATCTCTTCGAAAGATCTATGTACGAGTGACGAAAGCGAGAAGAGAGGATAGAAATATACCTTATTTTTTCTGAGAAAATGTATGACGAATTGGTATAGATTTGATCACCTTTTTCGTGATGTCAATCAAGTCACGATGAATTATCGTGACTTGAGCAACAAATTTTGTTCACTCATAAGTTAAGGTTTTTAGATAGTGATATATTCCCTCACACCAAACGAAGTGACCAAAATAAAATACACATAATAGTTTGATGATTAATATGTAGTTTATCTATTTTAAAATTATCAAGATTTAACCTACTAATTTACTAAACCAAAATGCCTTATGGATTTTTTTTTTGAAAAATGACTTATGGATTTCTTCTATATGTAATTATAAGTATGTTAATTTATGGGTAAAAAGAAAATAATATTATTAGCAAATACAAACATTTTTAGTCTATCAAATAAATGCACTTAACCAATAGGGTTAGTTTAAGTGGTAAACAATTTGATATCGTTTAAGTAAGGTCTCAGGTTCGAGTCCTTGTATATGTAGAAAACCTAGGGATGGGAATGGGTCAGATTTTTGGTCCACCCGACCCGAAATAATAAAAATAGTGACTTAATTGGAAAAAAATATAGAGAGAGGGGTATTGTAATTATTCCTAAATATATAAAGTAAAATTATATTTTTTTGGGTTGGGTTGAGTATTTTCACCAAAAACCCAACCTGAACATCACATTTTAAAAAATCCGACCCGAAACTATATTAATTACATAGTCTTATGGAGATAAAATATTATGAATTAATTAGATATCAATTCGATGAAAATAATTATTAATAAAAACGAATTAACTTACTTTAGTGGTTACATGAATTGTTGTTGTTTCTAGAGGTCACTGTTCGAGCACTAGCGGCTGTAGTAGAGTGATTGAGCGATCAATATCAAATGGTTAAAAATACTTAGAACAATCAATTTGTTACTATGATATTTTCGTATCAATATTTAAAATATTTGTTATTGTTTGAGATTTTAATTTAGGGATTAAGGTTAGAGTTTGGGGTTTAGGGCGTAGAGTATAAGGGTATTAAAGTAAACAACTTTAAATTGATGCAAAATATCATAAGGACGAAAATGATAAAATGGGTCTGTTACAGAGACAAAATGACCCTTAGACCTTTATTTTACGTAGCATAAAAATATTCAATCTAAGAAAAATCTAAAAGAAATGTTAATCTTACAAATAAATTTTATCAAATAGTGATATTTGAG